ACATTTGTCCCTTAGACATATTTTTCTTTCTCACTTCCCCCTCACCGCTCCCCAGTCCTAAGAGATTGCAAAAGCCAAACCAAAGGGCTTGAGGGCGACACCCTGTTTACATACAGGATACAGCAGCGCTGTGGAAAGTTCCCCTGGGGTAACATGCCAGAGAGCCTTGCTAGACCTTGTCCCGGCAGAGGCCCCCCTGAAACTCTGTGGTCTCTACTACTCCTTTTGCTCAGGGGTCGGAGAGCATGGAGAGCTGACTGCCAGGCATGTACACCCAAAGGGATTTATTTTTTGCCCCCAGGGCTTCAAGAACGCAGGGCAGCACTGACCCACGAGGCGGTTTTAGGCTCATCCGAGGAAATAAATGCTGCTGCTTGTGGTAGGAGCCCAAGCCCCACCTGGAAACCATGTTTTCAGAATGTAAAAGTGGGGGCTGGGAGTTTCCTGTCACTGCTCTAGTTTAAATTCTGGGGAATAAATAACACAACCATGTGATATCTTGTCACTACTGTTTCCATTTGTGATGAAATGATTTAAATGTTTGTTTTCTTAGTGTCTAAATAATGTTTTAAGATCAAAGGCTAAAAATCATGAAAGCAAATACATTTTAGTACTAAGAGGCCACAAGATGTTTACTGCATTGCAGTAAATTACATCACATTATTTTTTATTTACCTTTAACAGATGAGCAGTTTGTTCAGATCACATAGCAAATTAGTACATTTTTATATAAATGTTTTTTAGGCTAAAAAATCTCTCGCCTGTTTTTCTTGGTAGTTATGAGCCTGAACAAATGCTTCCTGCTTTGGTCCAAAGAAAAGGAAAATATCCTCCAGAAAACCTGAAGTATTTCTGATCCCCAGAGTTCTGAACACTGTACTAAAGAGCTTCTGAATGTAAGATTTCTGCACTTACTACTCCAGCAAATAATTTTGCGTATAAAAAGGCAGCAGCTAATACATGTGAAAGGAACTGTTTCAAACTTCAAAACTCTTTCAAGTATTCTTACAGCTCCCAGTAGTTTACTATGTGTGGTTTCTGCATGTTGTTGTGTGGCAGACAAAATTTGGACTACTCATCAAATAACATTAATACTTTTAAGACCTTTGTTTAAAAATTCTTTAAGACTTCATTAAAATCTTACAATTTCCACTCTCTTCCACATATTCTATAATGACACTGTGCAGAAACTACCTACAGAGAAGACAAGCAGCAGTTAACTAGTAGCATTCTAGTAGCTGTATCTGTCTACTCCAGTGAATTCTTCAAAGTCTTGTAAGACGGAGCAACAAGGAGTGGAAACCCAGCTTAATTAGGCCACTGACAAGTTTTTCCCCTGATGTAGCAGATCCAGATCTTCATCCCCTAAATCATTATACAGTTGAAAAAGACATTGGTTGAGAAGTTAGCTAAAGACTGGAAGGGCAGCATTACCTTCCCCAGTGTCTGTTCTGCTAGAGAAAAGGCATCCATGAAAGCTTGTGCGATTACAGACAAACAGCCATCTATATGTGAAGTCTTCTTAATATCAAAGACAAATTGGGGATTCTTCAGTATGTTCACCCAGAAGCGAAGGGGAAGACTAGACAGAAAAAGAACAAGCATCTTTAAAATTAACCACTCGGGTAGCAGAATCACAGAATCATTAAGCTTGGAAAAGACCTTTAAGATCATCAAGTCCAACCATCAACCCAACACCACCATGCCCACTAAACCATGTCCTGAAGTGCCACCTCTACACGTTTTTTGAACACTTCCAGTGATGGTGACTCCACCACCTCCCTGGGCAGCCTGTTCCAATGCTTGACCACTCTCTCAGTATAGACATTTTTCCTTATACCTAGTCTAAACCTCCCCTAGCACAACTTGAGGTCTTCACCCAGACATTCCAAAATCTTATTCTTCTGATCATAGGTGACCTGTTCCATCTTTGCAACTACATTTTCAGAGAGTGCATGCACTCCTGCACATATCATATGGCCTTACCTGTTGGTTTTCCATATATGGACCACATCAGGGTCAGTAATTTTTTTGCTCTCAGCCTGGGCATCCAGAAAGTCAAAAAAGTACTTGATGGCAACCGGTGCTTTATTGTTGGGTAAACTCCAAATGCTCCTGAAGAGCTTTTCAACAACTGAATGAATTGCAACCTGAAAAATAAGAAAATCAACAGTTTAGGATGTTGAAAATTAACAGAATAGGATTTCCTGTCTCAGACTGCTGACCGTGCCCCAAGGCAACCACGCACAGAAACTCCAATAAGCTTGTGGCAAACATCCAGGCCATAGCTTATTGGTAAACAAGACAGTCAATAACAAAAATGAAACTACAAATACACCATAATGAGCTGCTTTCAAATGTCACATGTCCTATCACTTTACCGACAGGAGAATTGTGGTAAACTTTGTGATAAATCGTAGGTGGAAGGAATCACTCATTCCAACACAGACAATATCACCTCTTTGGATATTGTCGGCACCATTGCTAAAGGCATTTGGAGCTTGTGAGTGGAAGTAAGAGGGCAGTGAGCAAAAGGAGTTCAAACAGTTTTCTAGGGCACTGGTCTTCACGGTGCCATCTGCGACACGTTGAATACATGTGCTCATCAACACTTCACGGCCAAGCGACTGTGGCGCTTGGTCTAATTCTAGGATAACAGCCGTGGGTGGCATATGAAGACACTAATATTAGAGAGAAGAACTGAAAACTGGGTATTCCTGATCCAGAAGTGAAGCTATCTGGCTCACAAAAGCAAAGGCTTGGTTGCTGACAGACTCACTGACATCACCACAGAATATTCGTAAGTAGAGGCAAACAAAGCAAAACACTGTTTTGTGCCTTTTTTCTTCACCTCTCTTCTGAAGTTCAGTTCAGCCCAGTCTTTCTCTCAACAAGAAGGATTTAAGTGTATCCCAGGGCCTTGATGCGCTACTGGCCAGTTCATTTCATGTGGCAAACTCTGCAGCTGTGTCTGTGTGTGCGTATGGGTGAGAGACATGGTTCAATGCAATTTCCTTTAGTGCACGGCGTATCATGGGTGGAATTTCACAGCGAGGGATATCACAGCACTGGTGTTCAGGGCACTATCCTACTTTGGAGAAGGAGATGATTAATTTAAAGTCCTTTAAAAGGACTGTTTCTTAAGAGCCTGATCTTTTCTTTTGTACTTCAGTCTTCCACCATAAGATATTACTGGTTTACTCCAGCAATTCCTAAGGGCTTATGTTAGTTTCCACAGCTAATGAGAAATGACCAGTCTTCACTCTCACTTTGGGTAGTGTCCCAAATTACTTCAGATGCTATCAACAATCTAATTAAATAATGATTGATAGATTTTTAAATGCAAGAAGGCCATAATCATCATCCCTTCAGGCCTCTTGTATCACACAGCTCTCAAGTGTTGTGCACTGATTAATATTTTAAGTAATATGCTGTTGCAAAGAGTTTTATAACCCTTTTGAATAAGTCAGAAACAAGATGACATTACCGGAGGGAGTGTGTGGGGCTGACTCCTAAGGAATGCACATTGTATAAATTAGGTAATCATATGATAAATCCAAAGGACCTTGTTTTTAAAATTAATCTAGTTATGCTTAATTTGAGACCTTAAAAGATTATTTCATTTCATGGGCAGTATTTTGTGAAACTCAGGCCTTGGAAGTTGTCTCTAAGCTGGGCAAACTCTAGTAGTGAGTGAGGAGATTTTTGACTGAAAGCTGTCTCTCCAGAAGGGATCGTTGTCACTCCATGGGACTCAGTGGCAAAACTCACTTTCTATAAGCTCAATAACCACCTTTTTTCTTTAACCTGAGAAAAAAGGTTGTGCTTACTGAGGAGAGAGAGAGTGCAAGTAATAGACAATTCTAGAACTCTAGCATTAGAAAACCTGAAATGTGTTCATCTTTGCAAACGGTCATAATCCATAGTTAGCACAGTGATTTTTATAGGCTACCTTTTAATTTAATATCTGATATACGTGCAGGAAGTCTGAGTAATTTCTGCTTTAATTTCTATTTCTGTTGTGCCAAACTAGCCAAGCCTGACATCAGGCCTCCCCCAAAATATGACCTTTACAGTTTACCTTGGTTGACAGAAGCTTTGTCAGATACATTTCTTTCACTTTGAATTTTTGCTTTCCTTTGTGACCCGCTCCTTTCACATCTTTGTTTGCTTCGGAGTCTGGTAGAATCTGCCGTGAAGAGATTAGAGAGATTACACAGATACAAATACAGCTCAGTATTAAATCTACCGCTTCACAGTGTAATGACTGAACTCACCAAATGACAGTGTTCATCCGAGTAGTCCACATCTAAACAACAGAAAGCAGAGAGCAAACAGGCATTAATGAAACACACAGCTACGAGCCTGTGAATTCTGCCGGGCTCTGGGCTCTGCAGCAGAGCGCACGCCAGGATGGCGGGCAAGCAGGCTCGGCGTCACGCTTTCCTGCTGGCAGTGTGGGGGAAGCCTCTGAGAAACGCCCAGGTCCTGGCTCACCTCCCCAGTGCCAACCTGTAGCTCGGACCACTAAGCTAGGGAGGGCATCAGCATCTGCTGCTGGGGTAAGCTGGCAGCAAATCGCAGCTCCTCTGAAAGGAGGACAACAGACAGCAGGTGAGATGATCGCACTGGTTTAGTCTCTAAGAGTACTCGGTGCAGGCGGGCTGAGGTCAGGCTTGAAAGCAATGGCTGAGAAGAGACAATGCTGCTCTTGCTGAGGGAGAGAGTAATGCCGTCCCAGTGACTTGCACCTCAGGGAAATGTCTCTCCTAACTTTAGATGTCTGCTTTGACAGGGAGGTGAATGACATGCTAGGAGTGTCTGATCCCCCCCAGGGGCTACAGAAAGGCCACCTCCCCGAGCCACCAGCTGGGCTGGTGCAACTTGCATCACGGGGGTGGGTGAGATGAACTGACCCCTTGTAGGCACCCTTTAACTCCTGACCTCAGTTGAGGCAACTGAATCAAAGCTTCCAGAAACACAGTCAGGAGAATAAGGACAATTCCAAAATGGCATTTTTTTTGTTATGTCTGTCTCTGGATAGTGCCCTACTATGTCCACGATGCAGAAAGCCAAGCACCGGAGCAGGGTGTGTTCCCTGCGTTGGTCTCAGCACTTTGTGTCACCCGGGCTTCCCTGCCCTGCTTTCCTGCCCATGAGTCTGTATCTTTAAGCATTCATTTGCCGAGGACTGTAAGTCCTTCTGTCCTTCTTTCCTTTGCCTTCTTCCCTCCTCCTAGGTCCCCTGTGCCTGCCATAGGTAGTAACACGGCTCTTCAGTTGTCTCAGCTTTATCAAAGTGCCAATTTTTCTGACCTCCTATTGACCAAGATACAACCTGTTGTAGCTCAGCTCTCTGCATTCCCAGCCCATTCTCCACAAAAGATTAAACAGGTTGCAGTTCCTTTGTTACCTGATCGGGTATTTGCCTTCTTCTTAAAGACTTTTATGGTTGCTCCACTTGAAATCTGAAAGCAAAACCAAACATATCATGCTGAAACAAAAGTGTCTAGAATGCACGAAACCCTCAGTTTCGTTCCCTCTGTCCTTAAGTCCGCGGCAGCACAGGACTGTGCCATCCCGCTTCGTTCTCACCGCAGTATGCACGGCCCTCAGCGGGCAGCCAGGGCTGGGCTTTCGGGCACGGGCAGCAGCCGCTGTTAGCCTTACCTGGCAAGGTGGAAAGGCAGCTCTTCCAACAAACCAGCCTTTAAGACCTTTTCCTTTCTTTGAGTTTCCTGGTTCAGCCCCTATCTAGACATTTTCATTTTCATGTATTGCTTTGTGCACCCATCTTTCTACAGATTGCCCAGGTTGGATTCTCTGGCTCCAGTGCAATAGGATCTTACGGGAAGGTGAGGCAGGGAGGGGAACACAAGGATGATTTCTCTTCTAGCCCTCTCTTCTTCCAGCTCAGTCCATTCCCCCCACGCCCTATGGAGGGGCCATGCTGAGGGTCTAGCTCTTGGGAGCACCAGGCTATTTTCAAACTCAGCAAAATATTTATGGCCCATGAACCATATGGTCAAGATCCATATCTAGCTACCTTGGGATTTCTAGGAAAAACCTTACCCCCTCCTTCTCCGAATTTATAGTGCTGCCAGGATGGTAACTATTATCCTTAAAAGAAACTGGCAAGTCATGCTTTTATTGTCAAAGAGCAACTAAAAAATGGCTCCTACTGAGAACTACACCAAGCTCTGCTGTCAAATGTTGGGTCTTGCCAAGTGCTAGTGTACTTCCCTCTATAATTACAAAAACAACTGGCCAGTTCTAGGAAGGGATCTATGCCAAAATAATTTAAGTGTTTTTTAAACTTTGGCAGCCAGCCTGGTGTGAGAAACCAGTTTAAACATTAAGATACTGTAGCAAAAGCTGTATCTTGCGCCAAAGAAATCTGCACTTACATTTGCTCCTGGAAAGTAAATGTAATCTATTTTATAAGTATGATTTTTTGCGGGGTTTCCATTTATCATACAGTGTTTCAGAGCTCTTTCAGATAACACAGAGCACTTTAAAACCACACTACAAGTGGGAATATGCTCTAAGGCTAGCTTGTGAGGCCACACAAACACCCAGAGAGTCCTCCTGCTTGGCCTTGAAGATAGGTAAACAGGAACAGGGCTACCCAGCAGCTTACCCCCTCCCAGAGCGGCGTGGGCAACACGCTGCCTCCACTCCCTCTCCAAGAAGGAAAGGGATGAATGAGAGAGATTGATGCTGAAATGTGTTGGCTCCTGTCCTGAGGGAAATGGGCACAACTTGGAGGGAGAACTGTGCTTCCCCCCAGGAACCAGAGGCATTGGCGCAGTGCAGCCATGATCCAAGACCCCACTTCAGGTTTTATTTCTGGGACAAATGATGCTTTTAGTATTGAGTGGAATATGCTTTCCCTTCTTTATCATTACTGCAGCAGCCATACTTGCTGCTTCTTTTAGCATGATCCAATTAAAAAAAAAAAAAAGCCCTTCTTTGTGTATCCTGCTGCCTAAATCCCTTTTCATGGTGGGCTGCTCCCATGGGCACCTCAAAACACCTTTACTTTGTCAGGTGCGTTACTGAGGGGGACAAACAGGGCGAGGGGAGACCTGTTGCAATCCACACAACATGGAGTACAGCTACTTTGCAAAATGGAAGATGTAGTAGTGTGGCTCTGCTCCTCATCCTTGTTCTCCAGGCCTCCTGTCCTCCCTATAATCCAGCTCCCTGGATCACACATTCAGATTTGCTCTCCGGGGCTGTGCCTCTTCCTGGAATGTGCAGTGCTGCTACAAGGTGAGAAATTGGAGATCTATGACTGGACAGCAGATCTGAAAGTGGTTCTCTAGCTCTCCTCTTGAGTGGGAAAAAGGACATCATGATAATCAGCAACTTTCTTGTCAAGGCTTGTGGTTATTCTCATGCAAACAATAGTGCAGACCTCATAAATAATCACATCAATAACCCTCCTAGGAGCAAGAAATTAGAGCACACAAGTCCAGGGACACATGAAAGTCTAATAAGATTACAATGCATTTTTTTCCCTTCAGAAACACCACACAAAAATGCAAATATCCCCTACTTGTGCATTTTAAAAATCAGTGTAGAAACTAAGTCTGCTTTTTCAAGAGTGACTGGTGATTCTCGGACCTTTACAACACAACTCTCACGCTCCAGTATCTTAAAAAGATTTGATGGTACTTCCAAGTTTCAAAAATCTGGTTACTTTCTAGCATTTAAGGCTGGTAAACAAAAAGAAAACTTCAGGTTTGCCGCAAAACTTGAGGCACTGTTGAAATGCAAGTTGGAATTCCTCAGGCAATGTTACTACCCTCACACTGTGTACGCAATGTTCTTTTTTCTTGATAACTAGATATCTTTGCATTCCTCTTTGCATTAATATGCATGCAAGAAAATAAACCAGATATGCTAATGACTGATGCTTGCCACTAAGCCACTGCCTAAAATGCCACTAAGCTTCTGCCTAAAATGTATATTATTTTGTCAGTGTCAGAAAAAGTGAACCAAAATATCTAACAGAGATACCCAGCACAATTTCCATAAGGCAGCTGCTAAGCTATAATTAGCATAGTTACAGCTTTGCAAAAACAACTGAACTTCCAACCTATCTTGCATCTGCCTGCAGAAACCTCAGACGAAAACAAGGCCTGGGACAAAGATACCCAGAGATGACAGTGACCAACTGGGGCAGACTCATTTGCCATGAGGTACGGCACCCAGCAGCTCAGGAAGTGCAAAAAGCTGCCACGTAAAATCAGGGAGCACTCGCAATAGCTGCCTGTAGTAAAGAGGGTGGGTACTATCACATTAGACCAAAGTTCAGATATCTAATCAGATACAAATCCATGTTGACCTTTGCTGCATAGACTCTGACTGCAACACTACAATGTCCTAATTTGTACAAAATATTTACTAGTGTAAAGGAGGAAGTCCCACATTAATCTATAGACAAGATTCAAGAGAGGCACAGGAAGAGCTGTATTTAAGACCCTGGATGGTGACTCAGGACATCAGGGTTCACTGCTGCCTCCCCAGGAGGTAAGGAGAGCAAGAAACGCCTACAGTAAGCTGTAAAGTGACTCCAAATGAGCTTGCTCCAGATCTGAGCAGCCTTGTGGCCTGCCCAAGCTACAGACAGTCCTGCTAGGAGTCCCTGTTCCTCTCTGTGGATGGCACTGTACTTGCTCATGCAGACAGAAACATGGTCAGGGCTGGCTCAGGTTTCTCAGCACCATACTGCATTGCATGGAAGAGACCTACGCTCATCAGCAAAACTTCTAAACAAATAAAAATTGATTATCGTGTTAAAAGCCAGACTTTCAAATTCAGAAACGAGGCACGAAGAAAGCTCATTAAAAGCACTCACTGTACTAACCTCATCTCCAAGATCTACCTGTAAGGACGAAAACGTGACCTACCATATCACTTGAAGCCAATCATCTGTTGCACATTTTACCCCAGCCTCTCACCCTCCATTTTGACTACTGTCAGTGGAAACTCCTTGGACAGGCAACACTGCTTGCTATGGTTTTACAACATGCTACACCCAGAAGGGCTCTGCCACCAGTTGCAGCCTTGTGTGTTGTTGCAGTGACAGACAGATTATTGCAGCATTGGAAACAACTGGTTTACAGATGCGATTGGAAGTGGAGGGGAAAACTTATGACACAAGCAGCAACAGTAGATGGAAGAAGAAACGGAGAGAAAAAGGGAAGGAGACTGACACAGGAGGTCTCAAGAGAAGAGCGAGACAACTCATCTGTCCTTTTTATTCTGACTCTCAATGAGCTTTCACAAGTATCACTACTGCCTGTTCAGATAATCAAAATATGAGGCAGGAAGAGGTAAACAATTGCTCATGGTGCAACAAAAACTCAGCAGCAAAGACTAGAAAAGACTCAGGGCAATGTTCATAGTTGGAAAACAGATGCTGTTTTAACTGAAATGCTCAACAGAACTAACAGTTTACCTGGTATGCTTGAGCCAAGCAACCCTGCAACAAGCAAACCTCTGAAAAGTAACAGAAAACATATTACATTGGCAAGAAAGTTGTGTGTCAGACATTTCATTCCTTCTGTTGATGGTTCTCAGCTATCTCTTCAAGATTTTGATCAATCAAGATACTTCTGTGCAGACAGCATTTGGGAGTTGGGGAAAAACTGCTTCTTGATTCATTGGTATGGCTTCCGTGCTTACCTCGTAATGACCGATGGTATTTAGCTTCCTTATCCCATCCTCCATCACCTCTGAGGAACCATCAATATCTAACAATTCTCTTTGCTGCTCCTCAGACACAAGTTCTGCAGTATGACAGCAACAGAAAACAATTACATTCCAATAGCATTCTCACTGTGCAGATGTTTGTAAAGAAAAACACCACCTAATTATTTTTGGACCAGAGGCTCCCAGTTGAGCTGTTTCTCTCTGTACTTGTGCTAGGTCACATGAGAGTGGTTTTGTACTCTCACACTACAGATTCCTTTTCTGGGGTGACAGCCTGAAGTAGCTTCCATTACTGCAGGCTATGGTGCTTCCCTTTGTGTTGGTCAAGGCAGGGTTTTCAGAGGTGCTTTCACCTGATCTAGCTATTCTGTTCCACAAGTGTGCCCTTGTGTTATGGCCACGTTGGGACTAGAAGAAAGGTTTCACAAGCCACTTCTAAGAGATCACTAAAATGAGCTGTACAAGACTGACATAGTGTTTGTGAAGGGTGGTTGGGCACTGGTGGTGGATATGAACAGCACATATGAAAGCAAGTTATCACTTGCTGACACAGTGTCTGAGAAGGTGAGGAAATATCAACATTTTAGGGAGCAAGCCCAGGAGGTGACAAATGCCAACAATGTAGAATTTGTTAGATATTCTATTGGAGCACGTGGGAAGTGGCATGGTGGTGACTACAGGCTTTTATCTGACCTTGGGCTCTTGAAAACCTGACAAGAAAAGGTAGCTCAACTCATCTGCTGGAACAGCCATATTTACATCTGTAGATACTGTAATTATCTTTGTGAGTCACATTCAAAGTATTATATAAACCTAAATATAGGTCTGACTGTAAATAAACTATATTTGTGGGTTCTCCTGATCAAGGGAAACATAGGCCTGTTGGAAGAAAGGGCAGTAGGAGGGATAGTAGGTGGGGACTAAAGTACTTGGTAATCATGGCGTGACATCTTAGCCGCTGGCAAAATTTATCATTTATTTAAGCTGTACTGAGGTGGATGGGCCACCTTACTTAAGCAAGAAAAGGAAAATATAAATGATACATGTCCAATAAATAACATGTATTTGTTAACTGCATGCTGAAGTCCTTGCAGAAGCGAAGCAGAAGTAGTTCCAGTGTTCTCACCGGTAGCATAAATGATCTAGTATTTCCCTAGAAGTTCCTTACAAAAGCTACGTTCTGCCTAAATGCTAAAAAACCCCCAAAGACCAAGGTAGGAATTCCTAAAAAGAAAACTCCACAGACCGACCAGTGAACTCCATGAAAATATAACACAGTGACATTCGCTTACCAAGACCAATTTCATCCAGCTGAAGACCGTAGAGAAAACCATTCTTATTAAAGAAGGCCTGAAGGCTCTTCTCCTTGGCTTGGCCTATAGTGTCGCAGTCCAGAACATTAACTTGGATAGTTTGACAGGCATCTCCACTCTCGTTTTCTGGGACTTTTTCGAAGATAATGTTCACTGTCTGGGGAAAGAAACACATGTTATTCCAATTTACAGGGAACACCTGGCATGGGAAACCTACAAACTCCTGACAACAAATCTGAGAGCTTTTCAGCATATTTATTATTAAAGCTATTTCAAATAAAGATGACTTGAAGGACTTATACAATGAAGCATTTAGAATTCCTCATGTCTGATGAATCAAAGATATATAGCTATGTATTTCCAAAAGTGTATTTTGTATTCTGCTTTTGTGCAAACCTATTTCAGTGAATTACCGAAAAAAGACAGGAGACCAGGAAAAATTACAATGCATGTTCTAAAAAAAAAAGCAGATCTTTTATTTAAAATGAATGCCTTAAAAGCAAAACTGTAAGCGACTAGAGATCTGATAAGGTTGCTAAGTAAGTCGTCATGGTAAGCATGATTGATTTGGAGTCGATAGGAAGCAGTGTTAAAATGCATATTTACACCAGCAGATTATTCTGAGTGCCTTATATCATACAAAAAAACACACCTCCCCTGGAGACATCAGTGTCTGTCCACATACAGCTGTGTCTCTACAGGCATCAGAGACAGGGCTACTGCAGAAGCAGTGGAAAGGGGAAGCATGTTGCAGCAGACAGACCCCAAAGTGGTCCAGATCTGCACAGAAAAGTGTGATTTATTCTATCAGTTATTACTCCAGGTCAAACACCCACACAACCTGTCCAGTTACAACACCCCTGCCCTTTAGCTCACAGCTACTCTTCGGTGGGACACAACTCATCTCCTAAGCTGCACACAAGGTGAGTATGGGCTAGAGGGAGGTGCCACTGAGACTGGGTGACCATCTCCAGGGAACGTTTTCAGTCAGGCCGTATTTCTGGTCAGGCCAGGCAGATCAACTGCTTCCAAAAGGCAGGGAAAAGGGGTGAGCACGGGACTGCTAATGCCGAGTGACAACAGCACTCACTCCCAGTGCCGCAGCCTGCTCCTCGCAGAGACACCGCTATCTGCTGCAGATGTCTCGGGACAGAATTAAAAGAAGTGTTTTGGGTGCCAGCACTTGACTACAAGTGGCATAGGAAAATCTACGTACTTGAACCATTCTGGCTGTTGGACATCTCTGGCGTGATATGTATCTTTTGACTGAAATGTGAGCGCTGCAGGTGTGACTCAGTGAAGGAGCGATCGTTAAAAGAGGAAGCAAGTAAAAAAAATTTTTTCCCCTGCTCTCATGTGAAGGAAAGAACGTCTCTCCAGGTTGCTGCAGGGACAACTCTTCTCTCTTCTTAGAAAAATAGGTAGTTTTAGAATGCTATTTTCTGCTTTATTACCCAGCAAGAATTAAAATTATGACACACTGTGGTGAAAAAAAGTAGTCCAATGAGACATAAATTAACTTTACTGTTTCTAGAGAAGCAAAAGGAGTATTAAGAAGAGGGTTGCAAAACTATGAAGATCAGGATTTAACAAAGACTAGGATGGAACTGAAGTAACTGAGAATAACTTAATCAGGACACCGAGATGTTTAATTGTGAGGAAAATGAGTCCACAGAAAGGACAGACGGAATGGAAGAGGAGGAGATGTGGGAACGGTGCCTGCAGAAGGAGAAGCAGACTGGATGCCATGCCTCGGGTTGGGATTTCATGCGGAAAATTAGTAAAAAATATATTGGCACAGCAATGAGGGAGTCATGCTTGGTTAGGCCCACAGACCAACTGAACAGACAACAGTCCTGTCCTTGACTTTGACTGACCTGAGGCCATGGTCTTGTAGGATAAAAATATGGACAAGAACTAACTGTATTTTGTCTTTGGAAAACTCATTTTACTCAAAGTCTTTGTCTCTTATAGTCTCCAAACTGGTCTTTCAGGAGTAGTTACTCACTCTTTAACTGATGCTGATTTGTCTTTACATCCTTGGAAGCATTCCTTCCTTTAGCTGATCCTTTCCTCCTAACATTATTCCTGCACTGCAATATTCATGTTCCTGCTTCTCCTTCATTTCCTCTTCCTTTCAGACTGTCAAGAGAAACTGTCTCTTTCTCTGCTACATTTCCTTTTCAGCACATGCTCGCACACAGATTGCACATAAATGTGCAGCCTCTTCAGTTATTAGCATGCAAGACTCCTCCCATCCCTGCTCAACTCATTGTAGGATGACAGGACCGTAAAAAGAGAGTAGTAATCCTTTATGTAGGTGGAATACAAGTCAGTTATGGACTCCTTAATTGAAGGTATCCACAATGTGAGGATAATAACAACGCTTTATGACTCAAAGAAGTGGTCAGATGGGAAGAAATATTTAAATGCATAAAAGTCTCTAAACCAAGAGAGCCAGACAGTTTTGCTGATACGATTTCCTGCAGAAGTTCATCTTAACTGATGAAGCAATTGATGGGGAGCGAGGAAAGCCAATTATTATTATGTCTTCCCTCTGTAGCTTAAGTTTTCATAAATCAGTTTCAACCTGTCTGACAGCACAATCCCTGGCTTTAGAAAACATTAATCAGAAGCTGACAGTCACAATCACTGCATTTAGACACAAAGTGTAGAACTGGAAAAAGAATCAGAAATGACTGTAAAATTATGAAAGCCCTTTTATGATCAGCTCTGAAGGTCAGAAAACATTTAAAAGAAATCACAGGAGGACACATGGAATTCACAAAGAAACATCATCAGGCCCTTTTCTAAGCTCTCTCGCTTTGCAAAGGAAACAAAAATACAAGTTAGCTTAGGGCAAGATTCAGGAGGAAATTACGGGACATGTGGTTCAACCTAGTAATATCTAGAGTTGAGACTTCATACACTAGAAATTAGTGGTTAGCAATACCAAGTCACAGCGCTCTCAGCAAAGGCTTAACGCAAATTGCAAGAATTGTTAAAGGCTACTTAAGGAGAACAAGGCAAGCGTCTGCAAGTACTTGTATAGGAACTAGCCTGGAACCTAGCTAAAAGACAGGAACAAATTTTAAAAACATTTCTTCCCCCTCATGCAGTGACAGTAATAATGACATCTGAAGACAATGTTTACAGATGTTTTTTTCAGATTTGTAGTTTTCTTGAGAATTAATTTCAAACATCAATTATTTAGTAAAGCTATTAATAACCCTAGCAGGTAATAAATGAGATGTGGTTTAATAAAGCAATGTGATAATACCATATTTTCTTAGAAGTAAAGAAAAATTATCTGGGATATTCAAGGGCTCTTACTCATTACCCTGTTCTCTATTCAGCTATGCATCTGAACAAAGCATATTTATCAGACAGAATGAAAAAACCAAGAAAAACTTTTAATTGGTAAAAGTTAGAGAATCATGTAAAGGAGACAGCACCATGACATACAGCACAACAAGATTGCCTTAAAGCTACTCCCCTGTCTCCCAGACTATAACATACAACAAACAGGAAAAGTCAGACTAACTGTATGATCCTTCTGTGGCAGCCAGAACAGTTACCCATAGAACAGCTAACAAATCAGCATAGAAAACGTTACAGGAGTTAAATTTAGGCTAGATGGGCACCACGCAAAGCAAGGGTCATACTCTCAACGCTACAGTATGGTACTCAATCTGCATCTAATTCAGCAGACTCTCCTGCCAACATCTGCACTGCTCGCTTCCTAGCAAGGGCTGTTGCATCCTTTGCTGCTGACGAAAATCCCCATATGTCACATGCTTTTAATAGCTTCCTCATCTCTCACAAAGTGTGCCTAATAATACCACAATCATGGCGTCTTGTTAGGAAAATGGGTTCCCTATCTCTGCTTTACTCCCTTACAGCCCTCCCACTTCTTTTTAACACCCTTCTTTCAACTCGTAAAGCAGTTGAACACTTTAAACAACCTTCAGCCCTGCGGCTTTTCTTCACTTTCAGTAAAAGGCTGTTGGCTGAAAGGGTGAATCAGATCATTTCTTCCCATCCAAAAATGCAAACTCATTTCAGCAAAGAATTCAACAGCCCAAATCCCGTTATAAAAATAAACACTGATTATTCAAAAGAAGTTTGTCGCTCTTAAATGCCTGTGCACCAAGTCTACCACATGAAGAAGTCTCCCCTGGTTTTCCACAAAAAAACTTCTCCCACGCCAGGCTCGCATTGTGTAGTTTTTCTATTTAAAATGAAACACTTCAGCGAAACGCTAACACTCAGCTGTGAACCGCGCTTCTTCATCAGTCATTGAGCAAATTATCCACCGAGGGGTGCAGCTGCTTGTCTGCCTGTGAGAAAGCAGGCTTGCTTCCTCAGCCTGCAAAAAGGCTCCACGACACATCCAAGTCTCTTTCAAAGCAGTTTTATTTCTCAATACTCAAAGATAAGCACAGCGTGAAACCACACAGCTCCTCAGCTCATACTGGACCAGTGCTTTTAGAAGCATCTTTCCTTCCATTCCTCTGCTTGAATATTTACTTCAGCAGCCCATCTCTGTTCAATATCTGACCCTTTCCAGCAGAGAGGGGTAACAGTAGGGGGCTGGCTGGTCCCCTAAAAAGGTCAGTGGCCTTTTTAAAAAAGGCATGGGGCCCAGCCAAGGGACAGTTCTAATACAATTCAAAACCAACATGTTTCTTAGTTCTTTTTTTCTTGTTACAAATGGGCTGAATTTTAGAAAATATCTAATGTCCTTCCTTCTTTCTCCATGCACAGTGTTTCTTCCTTCTCCTGCCCCAAGAGTTTATCTGCATAGTGTTGTGTTTAGGAGGAGACATGTAGAGCTCCCCCTAATTTTTATGAGCCTGTCTGTATCCTGTTTTTATTGGTTTGGAACTGAAGTCCCAATCCTGAAAGGAGAGATTTGCATGCAGAGTGCCTACACCCTTGTTTGTGCCCTGCCACTGATTTGAGAGTTGAACTCCTTACCACACACATCCCTGTGCCTTCAAGTGTCTACATGCCTTAAAAATCTGGACACTGAGTGTCTGCGGATGTGCTTCAGTATCTTTCTATCACCCTCTTTTTGGCTGTGTTTTTATACTTTGCTCTGGACAGGTAGGCTTCAATGTACTGTTATTGCGGGGCAAAATAAAATACCAACAAAATACTGCAAGGTTCAGAATGTAACTGCAGTGAGTAAATGTGCAAGTGCATTTGAAAACTCAGCTCAGAATTTACTCCATTTAGAAAACAAAACCTGCAATCCTTTAGGCTGAAATTTTCTTCCAAAGAAAGGAGAAAATACTTGGGTCCTTGTCTGTATGCTCACAGGTCCTGCATGTCATCGCAGTGCATGTGAAGTGGTGTTAGTGACAGCAAAAAAGCTGACTCCTTCCATTTCAGCATCCCATTAAATGCTGTTCTTGAGGAGAAAGCGTGCACAGCTGGCCTGCTTCCCCAGTCCAGAAAGCCTCACTGTTCCACATAAAACTCTTTCACAGCACAGGTTTACTTTCCAGCATAAATCTTAGATAAAACACCAAACAAAACTGTTTCCCTGTCCAGCCAGAGGTAGAGTCCTTGGGCTCCATCTCTGTCATTTTCTGATGTTTTTTAAAACATTCAGCCACCTCTCAACTAAGTCCAATAAATTGCTGGACCTTAGTGGAGAAAGCTGACATTAACCCTGTAACAGTATCATTATCTCCTGTTTAAACAAAGGCAGCAAGCAACGTTCAAGAACGGCTATCTGCTCTCTCACTTCCTCATCCATCCACAGACAGCCTTCCCCAATGACACGGAGTCCTTCAGGCCACTTCCCCTCTCTCCTCTTCACTGCGGGCTGCCCACAAGACCCTATCAGCGGCTGCATGCATAGAAGTAGCACTAGGAAAAGTATTTAAGGCAGTATTCAGCAATTTCAGAGTCAGCTAACCCCCAAGGTGCTCTCAATTTGAATTTGTGCTATAAATAAGAGAAGTCAATCAATTCCACAGGACCAGATGTTCTGCAGTCGACTCGTAACAGGCATATTGAGCTTGCTTGAAAATTGTTGCTTTGCCTAACAACTGGGTTTTGTATCCTATGGCTATATATAGGAATCTATTTAAACTTACCCTGGAGCCCAAATGCAAGCCAGAAAGCAGCGAGCAAATGAGGAAACCAAAGATATGGTATTATGCGTTTAATTTTTAGTCACAAACTTCCTTTCCAAATGCACACTGTGGTAACTTAGCTTGAAGTACCTTCAAATGAAACTTCTGATAACAGCTGTGTAAACAGCTATAAGAAGATTTGATTATAAATTTGTCAGTTGAAGAGCTTTCAGCAGAAAACAACAATTCAGAAATGTTTCACAGAAAGGTTGTCATTTCAGTGAGCTTGCTACGTGACTCCATGAGCTAAGTCCAACAGATTGCTAACCAGCCAAAATTTCCCAGGTCATGTAGTCTACTCCAGTATGTGGCATCTTAGGACCTCCAGGTTCCTGCTGCAAAAATGTAAGATGGGAAGAGCTGGAAGCTCCAGCCCTGCCTGAGGCTTGGGATATGGGCTCTGAAAAGGTCTGAATTCTCCTCCAAAGCCACCAGCACTTGCAGTGTCCCTGCCATGACAGTTGCTGCCCTGGCAGTTTCTGCTCCCAAGCTCTGAAGCCCATTATTTGGTCGCACTTCTCACACTCCTAAGTATGTCCGGTAACTCCGATCGGAAGCCGCGAGTTAAGAAGCAAGGAAGCTATGGAAGTGACTGGAAATGCAGATTTTTAAGTTCTCAGACGCAAAAGCATTTGGAAATTCTGGGGAAAAAAAAAGTACTCTGGCTATTCTGAAAACCTTTTTCAGATCTCCTATTCAAAAAGTCAAAATTTTTACATGCTCTGAGGTGCAATAATCCTTGCTGTGCCTTCTCACCTCTGTTTCCAAATGACAATCAGTAAGGGAATTCCAGCTTTCAAAGAATTCTGTGTGTAACTGTAAAATAGGAAGCACTTTGTAGCTGCTTTGAAAAAGGCAAGAAATCTATGGTAAAGTTCAGAAACTTAGCTAGGCTTACCAGATACCTTGTTTTTAACCAAGCAGCTAATTAAAATCCACCACACTGTAACCTTGCTAATTTGGAGCTAATAACATGGAAACCCGCAGCAAATTATTGCTGCCTGAAGATTAGCCACAAGTAAACACAATAGAAAAATAAAACCTCTGCATTCCATTCTTTCATTCCTTGGAAAAGTGTAATTTAGTTTAAATTCTAAGCATATGTTTATATTTTTGTAGTACACTTTAAAATAAGAAGGAATTTTAATACCCTGAGACTTCATTAAACCTAACTTTTGGCGATTAAGGCATGCTGTGAAGCGAGGAGTGAGTGCTATTTGTGAAATGTATATTGCTGAAATACCAGCTAGTTAAACTCTACTGCATTTTGAAACTTTGTCAGCAATAACAATTTTATTATCTGGGTACTTCACTGCCACCTTAGTGTCTAAGAGCCTTAACTTAGCTTCCTAGAAAAAGAGAAAACATTGAGGTTGTCTGTGTTTGGAGGGAACACAGACTGGCAAACATACCACTGTTTTGAATTCAGACACTTGCCACAGCAGCCAGTCTTCGTTAAGCGTGTACAGGGCTTTGCAAGTTATCGCGTCAACAGGTCCTTTGTTTATCCTCTGATTGAGGGTTGTCACTAGCAAATAGAAAGGTTCACCAATTGTCTCCTAGGACGTGAAACAAATACAAGGAACACGTTTATTTTTGTAATCACTAAACGGGCATGAATAACTAGAAAAAATCAAGTGTAAGAATTGAGTTATTTCCTTTTAACTAACTTGTTATTTTGCAATTAGAAAAGACAATCCCTCTGAGCAGATTTATCTACTTATTTGTTTAACCTCCACCCTTTGCTTTTTGGTGTGAAAGGCTCATGCAAATAGCAAGGGACAGCTGGAGTGTGTGGCAAGATAGCTCACAGCCCCTTGCTGTGCACAAGCACACTACAGACAAGCTGCTCCTACTCCACCAGCAGACGCTTCCTAATTCCACCGAAGAGCAGGTGGGGAGTGAGACGTGCATGCGTTCACACACATACTTCAGCTATTTCTTCCTTTTTCAGTGTGGTGAGAAAACAAGCTAACAACTATTTTCCTTTTGAATTGGCGTCTCCCCTTGTTGCCCCTGAAAAAAAGCCTTGGGAGGAAGGTGGTGGGACATACACCGGTGTATCTGTGAAAGAGGGAATTAAATTGGGACTTCCCTCTCCTACCTGAACCCCAGGCTTCAGGCAAGCACCTGAGAAAGGGAGGATGGGTCTCTGTTTCCACGTGACACCATTCCTGCAGCCTGACTAAGGCATCTCACTAGCACAGCTCTGTAAAGATGCCTTGGTGTATTGAGAACAGATCTCTGACAGTTCCTTGGCTCTCTCCTGGGGTTTCAGGAAACCGGTGCAAGCTGATGAGCCTCAAACAATTCTGTTGCTGTAATTAATGGCAAGTGCAAGGACTGATATGAGTGATACCAACTGCGATATCATCACACTGGTAAAAGAGACAGGAAGCATAATGAAGCACTGAAACCAAGAACGAAATGCTACCAAGTGGGCTAAAATAAACAGTAAAATGAAAGAACATGCTTGTTTTGTTTCCACTTGAAGTCATTTAGTTCTTGAAATCTGCAATGCTGTTTGGAGGTTAAAATGTTTGGAAAGAAGTTCAGCTTTCCAAAAGATGGTGCTCCTTAAATCTCCATTACGTGGTAGCTTTCCAAGAGCTTGCATAGAAAGCTACAGCTACATTTTAACAAGTGTGTCAGCCTTTTAGTATGATCACAGTACATCTCAGGGAGATGAAATAATGTCTGACATGAGAAGAGGATACGCTAGAGTTGCAAAATAACCCAAATCTTAGCCAAAAAAGTGACATATTCATCGCTTACAGACATATTCTTTTCCTACATCCTCTTGATGATAACTAGCTAAGTGCGCATTAACAATGTTAGAAGTTAGACTGAATGCTTTAAACTGATTCCTCTAACAATTCTTATGGAAGAAATCAGTTAAAAAAATTCTTTGCGTATCTTATGGAATGAAAAGATGTACACATACGCGGAGAAATCCAGAAAGGCAGACAGACATCCAGTTTGTCAGCAATTTTTCCACCACAGATTCAGTTCGTCTGAGCAGGAGCTTAGGCTGTACATTGCTTGATTGCTCCATCAAGTCCTTGGTCAACACTTCCAAAATATGGGTTAGATAAACTAGCTTAGTTTGTAGTGCAATAGTCAAGAAGGATGCAAACAAGCATCTGGTAAGAAAAAATAAAAAAAGAGAGAAAAAAAAAAAGAATGCTGTAGTATTTGGAATTTCTCTTCCCAGTCATCTTTAACAAATGAAACACACTTTAGTGCAGTTCATATCCTAAGTTTTCCCTCCTCAGGCATGGAAACTGTCCACTGATGTCTACAAAAATATAAAAAACGTAAGTCCATCTGCTCTTGTGGTTATTTTTTAAACACAGAATTTGTGTCTCTAATTCTGCAGAGCAACACCTGCTTCAATGGCAGAACATTTCTAAACCATAGAGCTGTTGATCTAACTGCAGGAAGTGTTTACAGTTTTGAAGTGAGTTTTCCTGCTCCTTTGGCTCTTTGTTTACATGTACAAACATTCTGATTTCTCTTTAATGGATTGTTTTAATGGTAATGTTTTCTCTTCCTCAGTGTGTGCACATGGAGATGGTGAAGTGCTCTAGAATAATGCAAGCTTGTTTTGCAAGAAGTAGAAATTACATTTGTGTAACAATCCGTGTTGCTTTTTCTTGCTAATTCTTTGTCTTGAAGATGATAAGCATAATCATACTATACCTGTCTTTCACAGAGAAATTTTTCTGCTTTTCAAGGGTGTGAATGAGAGTAACAAGAAAGTTCTTGTTACAAATTAAAGCATGCAACATGTTGAAGCTTTCATCCTTGCTCGTTTGGTCTCTGCTCTGGAATAGTTAAACAAAAATAAGCAAACTGTAGTTTGGCTATGATGGATTCTTAATGCTCAGAAAAATGGCAAGCAACATATGGGATAAGATCCTGGCCTCATTCAAATCGCTGGGAATTTTGCATTTATTTCACGAGTCTCAGGATTTTACCGAAGATGCATTTGTGTTTGTGTGCAACACATGCAAAGCATATATACACAAAGTAATGCCAATATTTAAGTTTGCCTGTCATTTCCCATGACTAGATTCTGTTTATTTCATTTAAATAAGTCATAATATACATTAGGTAACAGTGTCTTACATAACAAATTATTTTTATATATAAATCCATGTAACCCTCCACGTCGGGGAAAGGGAACATATTGAAAATGCAATCTGATGTGTTCTAGGACAACACTGAGATAAGGAGTACAATCACTCTTGAAAAAATACTTATTAAGGCATATGACACTACATCAGCTTACCTGTGGCATGTCTTCACTGAAGATGGATGCAAAGCCTCCTGACTAAAATACAAGACAGGTGATATTTATCATTCTTAGGTATACCAAAAGTTTCTAACACATGTATGTTAAACACACCAAGCATGTTCCTGATGGCATACAACTTGCAATAAAACAATGGAAATGCTGGCTTCTAATATGGCTACAATATAAAAACTCTACACAGTAACTTCTGCAAAGGCGCTGCCAAGGTTCACTGAAAAATGAACTCTCAAAGATGACCCCATATTGACTTCAGTGTTACTCTGTGCGTTACTATATGCTGCTGCGCTGTACTAGAATCATAGAATCTTTGGGGTGGAAGGGACCTTTAAAGATCATCTAGTCCAACACCTCTGCAATAAGCATAGACATCTTCAACTAGATCAGGTTGCCCAGAGCCCCGTCCAACCTGACCTTGAACACTTCCAGGGATGGGGCATCTACCACCTCTCTGGGCAACCTGTGCCAGTGTTTCACCACCCTCATTGGGAAAAATTTCTTCCTTAGATCTAGTCTGAATCTACCCTCTTTTAGTTTAAAACCATTACCTCTTGTTCTGTCGCAACAAGCCCTGCTAAAAATTCTGTCCCCATATTTCTTACAAGCCTCCTGAAGTTGACTAGCACAGCAGCTAACTAATGCTCCGCAAGAAAAGCTGTTTATCACCCTCATCTGCAAATGTGCTGGTGTGCAAGGCGTGCTGCAGCCTGCATCCTTCTTGGGCAGCAATGATAGCCTTTAGTATACGGGGTTTCTGTAACAGAGTGACACTTCAATTCATCTGCCTCCATTCATTTCAAGGCACTTTATGAATGTTCACTGATGAACTCTCCAGGAGGTCCATGCTGTCAGACTCCAGAGAGGCACAGGTGCCACCACACACCCGGTCATAGCAAAAGCTCTCACAACAAAGGGAAGCCCCCAGTTCCCAAATACCTTGCCAATGCCTCTTGTCTGACTCTTACAGCCTGTAAAGTCCTAACACAGCTGCATGTTCCCAAAGCAGCACCGTTGAACAACAAATTCATCCTAGTAACATTTACTGTCATCTGCTGTATTTGTGATGTTGGCAGCTCCTAGTTCCCTTATAAAATCAGAGGATGACAGAATGGTTTGAGTTGGAAGGGACCTTCAAAGATCACCTAGTCCAACCCCGCTGCAAGGAGCAGGAACATCTTCAACTAGATCAGGTTGCTCAGAGCCTCGTCCAACCTGGCCTGGAATGTTTCCAGGGATGGGGCATACGCAACTTCTCTGGGCAACCTGTTCCAATGTCTTAGCATCCTCATTGTCATGAATTTCTTCCTTAGGTCGAATCTAAATCTAACCTCTTTCAGTTTAAAACTATTGCCCCTCGTCCTGTCACTACAGGCCCTGGTAAAAAGCCTCTCTCCATCTTTCTTATAAACCCCCTTTAAGTATTGGAAGGCTGCAAGAAGGTCTCCCTGGAGCCTTCTCCAGACTGAACACCACCAACTCTCTCAGCATGTCCTCACAGGAGAGGTGTTCCTTCCCTCTGATCATTGTTGTGGCCCCTCCTCTGGACCTTCTCCAACGGTCCATGTCTTTCCTGTGCTGAGGGCTCCAGAGCTGGATGCAGGACTCCAGGTGGGGTCTCACCAAAGCAGAGGAAAGGGGCAGAATCACCTCCATTGACCCTGCTGGCCACGCTGCTTTTGATGCAGCCCAGGATACGGCTGACTTTCTGGGCTGCAAGTGCACATTGCTGGCTCACATCTAATTTTTCATCTACATATCTGATTTTTCATCCCCCCTTTCCTCTTGCCTCCTGTTCTCTTCTTCCCTACCATCCTCTTCTTCTTCTTCCTTCACTGGCTATTCCCATTTTTTCAGAACTTCTTCAGCATCCCTAACACCACCTACCAAATAAAACACGTAGAGTGAAACGATCAGAACCATGTTAAAGGTTTAAAATGCTTGTGAATAGGGAACAAGCATGGTAGCCTTAAACCAAACAATGTGGGAAATTGAGGGAAAACAGAAATAATAATCCAAATTTAACAAATAAAGCAAAAATCAGGCTGAACACAAGGAGTATCTTAAAAATAGATGTAGTATACATTTAACACCTACAAGCGTTAAGCAAAAAACAAAAGCTATCAAGCCAGATTAAATATAGAAAATTGAAGCAGTGGGAAGCTAGAAGCTCAAAATGAAGATAAGGTCCATCACTCTTAATTTTAGGTATCTGACTCCCTCTTCAAGCAGCTCATCCCATCCTGAGACAGATGCCTCAAGCAAGCGGGATGAATCACCTTCTTGATCTGCTTCTCTCTGCACTGACTATAGAAGGTGCTCAGTGAACACATTTGATGTCTGTGTTTAAACAGCTTAGATTAGATGAGACAAAGCCCACTGAACACACTGGAAGGCAGAAAGAGTACAATATGGACATCATTCAAACACATGAGGTTAGTGAGGGAAGCGGTGGTTTGTCATTTCGACCCTTCTGTCAACCCTTCCAACACTCGGTTGCAATCTACCACCCCTTGCCTTTTCTGTTCATCTGTAATATTTGTTTAGTAGAGCACCACTCTTCTACCACATTCATACAGCACAAGGCATGTTTGGACACTCCAGCAATGTAAACGATAAGTACTTAGCAGGAAAATTGGTACACAATACGTTAAATAACTTGCCTGACATCGCAAGTCTGTACAGAGCTAATAGTGGCAAGTTTACCTTCGTGGTACCAGTATTTCATACTGAGACAAAATCTAGTTGGAATAATTTCCAGGATGCGCAGAGCAGAGAGACTCGCCAAGGCAAAACAGGAGCCCTTCCCTTTCTGTCCTCACATAATGCAACAGAGTGGCAGACTTCATGCCTTTTTTTTTTTCCTTTTCATTTGCATAAAGCAAAGCATTTCCACCCAGACAGCTTCTACAGATTGTTACTGTTTTTACAGTGGACTATCACTAGGAAAATATATATTCCTAAAAATAAAAACACTATTTTAATGTTAATATGCCTGGCAACAAAACACACTGAAAGGAAAGAGATGCAGAAAGTAAGGTTTCCTCAGTCCATTTTCTTCAAACTTCCTAGTGGCCCCATAAAAATTAGACTGGGGGCATGAAAGCAGTACCAGAAGAGATATTCCCAATTTCCTTTGGTGTGAGAACTGGACCCAAAGTGTGCAAAGATTACGCATATGTAATTGTTAAATATTATGCTGCCTTGGTATCTGGTATTTGGTGTTGTACAAAAAAAGGCCCTGGTTCTGCACATGTGTTTAACTTTATCACAATAAGCTTTCAGTGGGATCATACACAGCAATGAAGTGAAGCAGTATGGAGGTAAGATTGCAGGACTGGGCTGCAGCAGTGGTAACACATGAAGACTAGTAGATAATTCGCATACACGCTAGCTATAACCTAAAACACCACAGCACTAACCAAGGGTTTCTACTCATTAGTGCCAGTTACACAGCAAACTATCACCAGCTGAGATCAGAGCTTCTGCCAATTAGTAAATGCCAGTAAGCACTGGTTAACATCATGATGTGATTTTGAGAACTGTGGCAAAAGTACTTATCAGCGTTGTAATGTGCCACATATGTTAAAAAATAGCAAGAGAAGTACAACATTCAGGAGAAGGCCTCTGGTCCTCTGATGCAGTGGCACAAATCGCTCCAAAGAGCAATGAAAATATCCACCTTTAAACTGGACAGCACTTAGGTACTTATGTAATTTTTAAGTATTTGACCTGTATTCATTTGAATTATTGTCTTACCATTTCTGTCAGCAGCTTGGAGTCGAAAGTCAGCACGATCTTAGAGCCATTTCCTCATCCCACAAGTCTAATTAGGAAGTGTCATGATGTTAGCTAGCATGTTAGCTAGCCTGACTGTTACTTTAATTAGCTATAGCATGGAAAGTGAGAGCATGAGAACAAAAAAAGCAATGGATAAATTATAGCTTGCTTAGGATGGCCTGAAAGCAGCTTAGTGAGGCTGGGCAAAAAAGAAATGGATGCAAACACAACCCTTGAAAATTCAACAACGGTGCTTTACCTACAGCATTTAGGCTTGGTTAAATAGAGAGATGTACAGCCTTAAGTGTTCTTTGGTAATACTTGATTTAAGAAAAGTTTCTTGTGAAAACAGTTTGCAGTTACTGTGTAGTATTTACTTTAGTTATTTGATCCTGACCTTCCTAGCTTTTTCATTATTAGGTAGGGCAGACAAAGGAAAGACTTGTAAATATTTACCTCTGGAAAGAAAGTTCTAAGAGCAAAGTGTTTGTAGTCAAGGAAGGGAACGGTTCCAAAACTATCCACCACGTCTAATTCATCCATCTGCAGTTCAGCAAATCCTGAAAAAGCAACCCCCCTCCCCACCCAGAGAGTTAATTTAGTTGACACAAAATCATCTTGGCAATTATAACTTGGCCCCAGTAGATGATCCTTAAAAAACAGTTTTCAGAGAAGAGGGGTTGTTTTTCCAGCTGAAGCTCTTATAAGCAGGAACGTACCAATGAATTTTTTTTTCACTTTTGTTGAAGGAAATATTACATGCAATCCTATTAGCTCAGTGCTACCTGCAGTGCACACCAACATTAAAGAGGAACTCTGATACAACACAAAAATATTCTAACAGCTATAAAATTAAAATGTTTATATACTGTGAGATTCTTGACAGTTTAATTCAGGAATTATATTGTACTTAAGCTCTATAAAGCTCTTTAGACCTACCCTCGCGTATTTCTTTCCGAATCTCATATTCCAGCAGTTCAAGTTGCTGACTCTGTTTACGAGTTAACTCTTTGGATTTGTATCTGGTAACTATGAATGCCGCTAAAAAGGAAAAAAAAAAAAGATTCTGAGTACAGAAATTGCAGAACAGATAACCCCTACAGAAGACATATTTTAATATCATGTTAAGAAACAGAAAGATTAATATATACTTGCACTCTCCTGGAGGCTTACTGTTTCTGCTGTTGTCAGTGTACTAGTAGCCATGAGCCCCAGTTATCTGGATCTAAACCCAATGTTTAATAAAAACCACTCCTTGTAACAAGGTCTTAGAGTTGTCAGGCCAACTTTATTCGAAAGTACAGCACACCCTACTATGTACAACCCACACCATGAGACACAGAATCTAACAACCGCTTCTACAACTAGCAACCTACTTGAAGTAGCACTGATTAAGCAGGAGAACCAGTTGTTTTGAACATGAAATCCACTTCCAAATTGTTAATTTCTCTAAAGCTTATTTTGAGGGAGAAAAGGCACCAGATATGGTACCTGTAAAAGTAAAGCACTTTTTAAAAAGAAACCCAAACAAACAAAAGAAGAACAACCCCCCCAACTTATTACAATAAACAGAAATCTATCAAATATATAATGAGGGCAAAACATTTAGAAAAAAGGAGTGACAAAAAGAGGAGGGGTTAACTATTTACCCCCCTCAACTTAGTAATGACTTACAAATTCATGAATGATCTAAATGAGACTGAGCAGAAACACCACAAACACTGCCTAAGGATAAGCTGTTTGTTAGGGAACATCCGCCCCAGGGATGGGAGGGAAGCCCATCTCCGACAGCTAGAAGCACCCAAGTTGTGACACAAGGATGTCAGTACTATGGCTTACCTCACTAAATGGTGGTGAGTAATCCCAGCAGAACAGCCAAAAGTACTGTCTCATGACATACTGTAGTTTGACAAGATGGACTTCACCACCAGACCAGAGTTAACTTCGTCCACTCTTATTGGGAACAGGGGAAAACACCAGACTGTTTGTGACAGTCCCAAACATGTATGTGTGTCTAGGTGTGTTTATGTGTCATGGTTATACCCTTCAGCAAATCAAAATTGAGTACATTATTGTACTTACCTATAATGACACCCACTACAATAGGTAGCAAAATAAGAACATACAAATATATGTGCGATGATGTTGGTTTGACTTCGTGCTCAAAATTTCCTAATTTGACCTGAAAAAAAATAATGTCTGTGTTAAAAAAGGGCAGGTATTATATCAGTGCTTAAAATGACATTTAATGTACTAAAAAAAAAAGTGTTTGAGGTACATGAAGGACGCTGGTTCTCCAGATTATTGGGAAGACAGCAGTAATTCGGGAAAACATACGTAAACCAACACAAACCTAACTTTTACTCTATTTCATGTTTAAGCAGGGTAACAAAGCAGTGACAAGAGAAAAATCTGGCAGTCCTCATGAAGCACCAAGTTTTGTCATTGCGCTCACTGCAAACAAGAGCCCTTGAATGAAGGGCAGGATCTGGCCTCCAGAACTGTTGCTAGACATTCTGGCATTTTGAAGGGAGGAAGGCACATGTTGATAGTTAAAAACATTCCCTTGCACTCGGTGTGTTACTTTGCTGAGCAGAAAAGCAAGGTAAGACTCAAGCTGATAATGAGGGAAGCAACATTTTTGATAGATGCCTGTCTCACAGCCCTCTTCCCTATTTCTTTGCAGAAGTTTCAATCTCTTTATGTAGGATGTAGGGTGTTCCTGAATGTCCGCTTAAGAACAAATATAACATGCAGTACATGTACAACATCCCCCAATGGTCACTGGTCTTGTCAAAGACAGGACAGGCATCAATTCTTCAGAATACACGGAAGTGCTGCAGTCTGCCAGATGTCAAACTGAGGCATTCACCACTGATAATTATGGCAGAAGACATTTCACAAAGGAGGATCTCAAAGAGGGCTATGAAAACACATAAATAAGGGGTAGCTAAGCCTATAAACAGACTAGAAGTAAAAATATGCTTTGACACAGAAAAAGAATACCACTGAGTGCCAGGGTTAGAAATGACCCTGAGATAATTGAAAAGGAGGGATGGGTTGAAATTATTTTGGGTTACAGCAGGGAAGGCAGAGATCTGGTGATTTCAACCACTGGCTTGTCACAGGAGGTGAGCAGCCAGGGCAGCTGAGAGAGAGACTGCCAACTGGATAGTCACATGGCAGCTACACGGACACGAGCAAGCCCTTCCACAGGGCTGGAAGGACACAGCCTGCGTATTTCTGGGGCTACAAAGAACAGAAGACAAAGCAGATGTATTTCCTCCATCAAATGTTATTTCTCCCTTGGTTGTTTATATGTTTTCACAGTTCCTATACACAGTGCTTTTGGTCTGAGCCTTCTCAGGATCCCATTTGCCTCTTCCAAGGCTGAAATGCATTGGTGGCTAAATACATTAATCATCCTGTGACTAATATGCCTGACTTTCTCCACTTGTCACGTCCAACCAAAGCATTCCTAAAGCAGAAATTTCTGTTACTCACCCCTATTTCTTGAAAACTGAGACAAAGCATTCATTTAATTTTCCATTCATATTTAGATTATCTTTAATCTTCACCATAACCTTCCTATTCAGTGGCCCCATTTCTTTCCTTACCTTTTATCTTGCTTATGAATCATGGACTAAATAAGGTACACTTGAATTAATCCGATTCCTATTCCTAAATTAATTTCAATCTTCCTGCATGACATTATAAAAACTCCTCTGGACTGTTGATGCCTCTGAGTTTTATGTCACCGGCAAATGTTATTAGTGCATGCTTTACTTTTGTGCTCAAATCACTAGTGATATTAAATAGTATCTGTATGAAAATCAACATTACCCAGAGTCAGTTCCCCATACACAGCATCCATGTTAATCACCATGCTAATGGCGATTATGAATGGCTTCCAGGTAATGGGATCTACCACTTTTTTGTTGTTGAGGAAATCACTCATCTTACCAAATAAAGATATCTAGCATAATCTGCTTTTATTAAAAAGAAATTGACATTTTCCATTTGCCTCCAGGTCTTACATGGGCTCCTCATTCACAATACATTATAAATCTTTATATAGAGCTAAGATTAAACCAGCAAGCCTCATTTGCCTAGGTTTGGGTTTTTTTTCTTGTAAAGACTCGTTTTATATTTGCTGCTCTCCAGTCATACAGTACTTCCCCTCACTCTACAGTTTTATTTAAAATCTTTCCTACTAAGCCTACAATATCATGTGCCAGTTCTTTCTCAGTGCTGTGTTGGGAATGATCCTGTTCCAGCTGTCTTGAAGCCCTTGATCTATCAAAATCTTGCTTCTGTCACAAGAATGGTATTTTCTTCTTTAACACCTCGTTTCAGATCATCCTGTCTTTGACCCTCACACTCAATGTCCTCTTTCTTCCTGAAAACCAAAGCAAGAATTCCATTTATTCTTGGGCCATACCTATCTTTTAAATGCAACTTATCCTTTCTTCAGTGGCCCTACTTCTTCTACGATGATTTATTTAGATAGAAAACACACGCGAAGACTTCCTACTTTTACATTTTTCTTGATGCTGGAAAAAATAATTTTTAAGGTACCAGAAGTGAAATGTTACATTATAACTATTGCATTTGATATGCCTTAGCAAAGTGGTGACCTTTCTATGACAGTCACTCCTATGAAGCTTGCAGGATGAGCATGTGATATTGCAAGGAAACGTTAATATTTAAATGCAACACTGATCTCAGAAAGGCTTTTTCATGCCATAACTGGCTCAGACGGCAGGATCCACAGATGGGGGATCAGTTAACAGTGATATGAAATTGAGAATAGCTTCGTTAATCTTTACTATGAGCCATATGCCTTGAAGTCAATAGAGTTATTTCAGTTTTATACCACCATACACTGCAATGAGAGTCTGGCATCATTTTTCTCCCTTATAAATGGTGATGATTGCTTTTTTAAAAATTCATATCTTCATCTTATTCATGGAGCAAATATCTTAAGCTGACATTTAGCTTTGATATCCATGCTAATGTTCTTATATTTAGGGCTGGCTTTGAGCCATATGTTCACAGCATTTTGGCCTCCTCATAGCATTTGGGTGCACACTGAATTTCACTGTCTTTTTCATCCAGAAATGCCTTCTCTTCTGTCTCAGTGGTGATCCCTATGCACTGTTCAAGATCCTTATCTACTAAAGTGGGAAAAAGTGAATGGGAGGACACAATCCTTCTCCTCATGGCCACACTGCAGCCGCAGATTGCTTACAGACCTAAGATGAGGGGCTCTCCTGGAGCCAGTCATGCTTTATTGGTGATGTCTGCGCTGCAGCCAGAGGTCTGACAAGCTACTGCTTTCCTGGAGCTCAGCAGCAGTGAGCTCAGCTTGGACTGCAAAGCCTACCTCTGACACTACAGCAGTAACCGGACAGTAAATTAACTTAGTACTCTTAGTGGTGCTTAAGCTAGGCAGGCATGCTTAGATGTGAGGAAGGTAACTGGACTACCAAGCACCAGGAGAACAAAAAATGCATCCAGTTCCTCCCTCTATGAAGAGTATTCATGACCAGAGCATTAATGCTACGTTTTACTACATTTACATAAACATTCAAGCATTGTTAAACTGCAACAAAAGGGAATTCTACTTACAAAAACTTTCACTGTAGAAAAGTCAATCTTGTCTGTTCCTTCCCTTTTGAATTTGCACAATATGGTGCTACGGTCTGGTTTTTTGGTAATATTTTGGATGCTGAACCATATCTTTTTGGTCTGTGCACCATTCATATACGACAGATAAACCTCTACCTCAGTTTTAGAAATATTCAAGTTGTCATTTTCTTTCTGGAGGGAAAAAATTGAACATAATAAACAGTCACTAAATACAGTAAGAAATAAAATTATCACAAATTACTATTTTAAATAAGGAATTACAGTTTATTACTTTCAAACTTACATATATTTTTAATTCCAGATCAGGATCCAGCTCAGTGTGTAGCTGGTAGTTAATGAACACTGGGTCAGGGTGATAGTGTAATTTGACACATGGTATAAAGGTAGTTTCCACTTTTAACATCATATCAACAACTTTACCCTCTGTTGCATGGCTCAGGCTTGGCGTTAAGTAATGATAGTCAGATTCATTTCCAGGACACCTGGAGACCTAGAAATGCAACAGCAAAGCTGTAACAGTCATTAAGTACTCAACAGTGGGTACAATTACAAACAGAGGCACTCAAAATTATTTTAACGTCTTCCTGACTTCACACAGGTATCTCCTAAACCTCTTCTCTGCGATCAGGGCTGCATGCAGAGCACCTAGCAAAGTTTCTGTGTTGAGCCTCTGTCTACCATTAAGGACATTTATCACACACTCTGCACACTGCTTTAAGGCTGATTGCACACTGCTCTGGCAGCTATTTCCTGCAGTGAGACAGGAATAGTGACAGTGAATTCTCCTTCCTTCCCCTAAATGCAGGTGACAAGAGAAAAGCAGGATGAGCTCTCCAGCACCCCTGGGCATTGGCTCTCCCCAGCTTAACTCCTGATAGAGGGGAGTTGCTACAGTCACCCCACTGGTTACGCCATGGGGTGTTGCTGCTGTTTTTTGGTCTCTGTGCTGCAAGCCCAGGAGGCAACAGGGTGCCCACCTCCTCACAGCCTCGGAGGTTTTCGTCCCAAAATCAGCCCCAGTCTCCCACCCCTTGCTGAGGCAGTGGCACCATTTGGGTTCTCAACACAAAGCCAGAGAGAAGTACGCCATCCCCTCCTCCAACAGACCCATATGTGGAGGCTGGGGAGGCTCAAGGACAAATTTGGAGCAAGTCTCTACAGTACAGAAAAAAGGCTCAGGGAATTATGCAGGAGAGTAGCTTATGTGTATCCATGATCCTGTACTGAGAATGTATGCAACCATAATCCTAGAAGTGGTCCTATTTATTTCAGTAGGGTGACTGATGTGTACCTACAAGTATTTGAAGAATACTGAGATCCTCCTAAAACCTTAGGAATAAAACCTAATCCCTTAAGAGACGTCTGTTTGGTGTTGTAAAGGAGATTAGGACTTACGGTGAGGTTTGATCTCTGATCATCTGAAATAATCACACTGTCCACCACATTAAAATTTCTACCAATTGTAGTAATTTTGCGACCACCACTGTAAAAAAAAAGGGAGGGGGAAGTTAATATTATCTGTTTTCCCACAGATAATCCTGCATTAAGGCTTCAGCTGTGAATAAATGCTACTCATGTGCATTTTGCTTTTGTAGCAGCCAATACAATAAAGTCAAACTGCACGACAAGATAATTTGAGCTATACAGTGTACTTCCATTCCTTCCTCATAATGTAATGGTAAATGCTTTTGCTACCTCAAAATGAAATGACTTGATAGGATACACATGCATATTCCTTTTCAGGGACTCTCCACCTTGTTTCCTATTCATGCAGCCAAAGAACTAGACCGTGATTTAATATTCTGTCTTGAAGAAAGAGCATCATGGTTATTTCGTTGCCCCAAAGCAGCCTTGCCTGTGCTTAATTCTTGCCTCCTTCAGGACAAACCAGTGGTGCCAGGCACCTCACAGGAAACATTCTCGGCAGTGTTCGGACCATCTGTCTCAGCACACACAATGGTGCTTGTGTCTGAGTGCTCCAGCTCACAATCTCTGCTGAACACAGTTGGAGCAGATTAAGGTATTATTAATTTCCAGCTGCCTGAGCTGCCCCTCACCTGGAGATGAGGGCATGCATCCTAGCTGCTCAGCTGCTGCAGCTGCCAGCCCAACTTACTACCTCAAATCCACACTTGCCAGTGCTTGATGCCAAGATATCAGATTAAGAATGTAAAAGTGGGTAAAAACCGTGCAGGCAGAGGGACAAGTGGAAAGCTGTGCCTGAGAACATCTTAAAACCACCCTGTAAATCTTCTACCAGAGCTGTGAGTCTCCAACAGAAAAGAGCAGAAGCTTGAAGAGGGCTCTTCTGGCTTTAGGGAACCTGGTCCTAAAGCAAGTCTGTGCATACCACTGCAGTGTAGTGTATCATATGATATGGAATATCCCTTTGGCCAGTTTGGGTCAGCTGTCCTGGCTGTGCTCCCTCCAAGCTTCTCGCTGGCAGAGCATGAGAAGCTGAGAAGTCCTTGACTAGTGTCCGAATATTTTCACTCCATTTCCAATTCACTCATACTTTATACTGTTTCGGAGGTAAAGGGTATATTAGTATCAAGAAATCAAAGTTAACTGGAGTTTGAATTCTTGTGTGTGCTGTGGTTTAACCCCAGCCAGCAACTAAGCACCACACAGCTGCTCACTCACTCCCTACCCCCCCGTGGAATGGGGGAAACAAATTGTAAAAAAAAAGTAAAATTCACAGGTTGAGATAGAGACAGTTTAATAGGACAGAAAAGGAAGGGAATATTAATATTATTATATTAATAACAACAATAATAATAATATACAAACCAAGTGATGCACAATGCAATGGCTCACCACCTACTGACCAATGCCCAGTCGGTTCCTGAGCCATGGTGACCCCGCCCAGTTCCCCCCCATTTATATACTGAGCATGACATCATATGATATGGAATATCCCTTTGGCCAGTTTGGGTCAGCTGTCCTGGCTGTGCTCCCTCCAAGCTTCTCGCTGGCAGAGCATGAGAAGCTGAGAAGTCCTTGACTAGTGTAAGAACTACTTAGCAACAACTTAAAAGATCAGTCTGTTACCAACATTATTCTCATCCTAAATCCAGAACACAGCACTATACCAGCTACTAGGAAGAAAATTAACTCTTATCCCAGCTGAAACCAGGACAGAGTGCTACCCATATTTTGGATTTAGCTTTAGTATAAAGACATTATTTTTGACTTCTACAAAGGAGACCTGGGGTGGGCAGGATGGAGTTTACAGAACACAGAACCCATCTTGCAGCTATCATGACCCTTTCCGAGTGTTAAATGTTAAATCAGTTCACTGGAGTAAATTCATCCTCCACAACAGGTTATAGCAGCCATCCAAATTTACATCAGCTGCAGGCTAGCTAAGGAGGCTCATATCAGCTCAGTAGGACTACATTTTAATAAATACATAAAAAGTATAGAAAGACAAAATTACCTGATCCAGGAGGTATTTGGTGTGATTCCAAAACATGATGGCAGTGAAACATAATGCAGGGTCATTGGTGGTGAACATTTTTTCCCATTAGCCTGTATACATATACTCTTGGCCTCTTTACGTGTTGGTGGGAGAGCAAATGTCATTTGTGTATCGTTTAACACATTTCTAACTTTAATGCTGGAGGAGGAAGAAAACAGTCAGATGCTGAAACACAGATGCCACTACGCCACTCATTGGTGTTACTACACAAAGCCTATAACCTAAAGCAAAACATGAGGAGACCAGAGGAATGAATCTCTCTTTGAGCTGCCAGATGGAAGTGGAAAGACAGAACAGGGAGATGAAAAGACAAAGTGGGACATCTTTTGAATGAAGTTGCTATGTGTCACAATAATCACAGAAGATTACAGACAGTACAGATACTGGTCTTATGGCCTTGGGATGAGGCTATGTAATGCAATGTGTGATTTTGCTGTGTAAACAGTGTACTTTGCTGCGTACTTTTCTGTGCTACCAACACATTAGCTAGTCAAGAATAGGAATCTTCAGTTTCCTTTCCTTTCTTCTTTTTCTCTCTCTTTCCCCCCTCCTTTCTCCCTTTCTCTCCTTCCTCTTTGTATCTACTTCCTCTCTCTCTCTCCTTTCCCTCCCTCTATCCTTTTGTTTTCTGTGGTCCCCAAGAAACTAATGTTTGAACTAAAAACTGAACTGTACCATATGAGTACTTTTTCAAGTGCTAGCTATGTAAAATGGGCTTGGTAATCACAGGCAGCCATTGCAGCTGCACCTCAAAATGACTGATTTAGAATAAGATAGCCTAATTATCTAGGGGGTTACACTGTGCAATCATCAACAGAGAAGAGTACACCCTGTTGCCTGAGAGATTCCCTTCCCTGGCATGGTGCCTGTGCTTTCACAAGCAGAATCCTAAAATATATGGGGGATATTTTGAAGCAGAGGAGAGTCAAACAAAAGCTGAGGCTTACCTGTGACCTAACTTCATGTTGCCTGCTGCAAGGCACAGAGGGCCACAGGTACAGCATTGTCCTAACTACTGCTGAGAGCTGCCCACCTACCCACCCATCCCTTGTACCCAAACACCAAATTCATTTCCATCCTTCAGGAATTTAAAGTAGAAGTATAACTGAACAAGTGCAGAGCACCCCCCCACTGCTGAGGAGAGGTCCATGACAACTGTTACACAACTCTATTGTTAGAGCAAAATGGGCACAATTTTCATCATGCAAAGTAAATAGCCTTATTTTTCAGAGCTTAACTCACATGTCTGGTTTACAGCCAGTGATTCCAGTCAGTATCAGTTTTATGCCTGATGCACGTGTAAAGTTTTCTCCTTTGACTGTTATTTCACTTTTGCCTAATGTAGAAATCCACAAAGGTTCAATGGAGTGAATGCTGATATGCTATTAGAAAACAAAGCAAAACAAAAAATGGTTATAAAAAGGCTAGGCAGTTAACAGCTGCAAAAACAACCACCACTCAGCAATGCAGATTTTATGGCACTGGGATACATTTTTCTTATTAATTTCAAATCTTGTTAAGCTTGATCCTGGGATGTACTGTCAATCACAACTTCTTTACAGGCTAACTATTTTCACCTACATATATTATATTTCAATTTATCTTATAACAAAGTTGCCCAAAGGAATCACAGTTTGACATACTGGGAGGTAAGTATCATAAAAACCCAGTTTGAAATGATACATTTTTTGTGACCCTTGAAAAACTAAGAAACAACGCAAGACAAAACCCATGGTGCTGTCACTATGAGAGATCAGAGGAACAAATGAAGGCATCTCTCGTGACCTGAAAGGGGGAAGAAGGGTCAAATCCTAGAATGAAAAGTCAAGAAAGAGCCCCAGAATTAGCTTTACTAGAAAGTCTTTTCAAAGTCATACATAGAGCTAAAGGTACAACACAACTGTGAGGATTTTTTGGTATCCCATTGTGATGCTAAGAAGTTTACAGATCTATTTTCCAGCATTTAAGAATAATCCTAGTTTGCTCTGATGCTGTCACAGTCTTGCATAAACGTGGCCAATTTTTAAACTGTGCTTTTCTTTGTGTATCTTTGTATTTACTTATCCTTACTTATTAACACTACCGAGCAAGAAGAGAGATTTTTTTCCCTAGTGTATTTACTTGATGCATTTGACAGCATCTCATGTTTAATCAGTTTTGCTGCTTCCCCAGTTTTATAATCACACAGACCGTTTCCCCTCTGTGCGTCTTTCAGACAACAAACTGAAAACATTCAAAAAACCCAGGAAAATACACATGTGAAACCACAACCGGTTTGGGACCTTCTCAGGCAAATGATTTCTGGCTTTCTTTTAGACTGCCTATAAAACTAGTTTAAAGTGAGTGTTTAGGGTATTGTGGTTATCCTGATTTCTGCTGTTCACCTGTGGACACATCCACTGAGCAGTTCAGCCTTCCCGAGCCTGAGAAGGGCGCTGGTGCAAAACCTCTAGGAAAGTCCTTCCCACTCATCTCTTCATGCACCCAGGAGCAGCACCAAGCCTTCGGGCTGGTAGCCTGAGGGGACCCCCGGGGTCACATTGCCATCCACTGCAAACACAGCATTTGCCCATTTCAGAAAGGTCGCCGGCATGTTGTCCCCGCATGCTACCACGGCCCGCTGAATGCCGGAGCGCACCAGGGCAAATGTGAGACCTGTCACAACTGATCGAAGGCTGCAAGTTGTCCCTTAGGAAAGGGCAAGAGAGCACAAAGGCTGGGGCCAGAGGGCCTGCAAAAGGGCCTCCAAGATGACCTCTGGTATGGATAATGGAGGAGGGCAAAGGAAACCCCTGACAAACAGCCTGAGGGAGAACATTCATTCCCACCCTGACCTGGGGATCACTTTAACCCTTAGTATGCGAGCAGGACAAATGAAGTAGAAATCTGAGAGTTTAAAGCCACCGAAGCACCAGTGCTTCACTCCACCTGCATCCCGTCCCTCTGCTTGTGCCCAGCCTCCAGCACACCACGGACAGTCGGCATCCTCGCACAAATCCAGAAGCTAAATACTATAGAAAGAAGCAAAAAACTACTTTGGGACTCTCACCGGTAACCGGCAGGGAGCCCCGAAGCACAGGAATAACTCACTATCACACAAACACACAGAGGTGTGCCAGGGCCGCATCAAGGCTGCGAGCCCTGCAGCGGGAAACATGAGGCATCCGCTGCCCAGAGGTGCGGCAGGACGCTGTGGCACTTCAGGGCTCACGCTGGTCGCTCTGCCAGGCGCCGCACGCCACGGTGTGCCTCAGCTTAGCTTGCCCCGTTTCTTTTCTTAGGCCAAGAAGAAATGGCGGTAAGAATGGCTACTCTGGAAGTTTCAGCCTCCCCTGAAATCACACCTTCCCTGCAGCTACACAGCGCCGACTCCCTCGCCGCGTCCTGCCTCGGACTCACGGCGTCAGCACAGTGACTCGCAGCACGGAGGCAAGCTGGCCTCGGCTACCCAAGAGCCTGCTTCCCGGCTTGACCACCGTGCTCCGGGACAACACCTTCCTCAGCAGCAAAAGAAACCATGAATTTCCTCACTGAATGCAGGAGGGACCAAGCGTCCTTGCTGGGGTCTGTGGTGCCCATGTCCCCAGCGCCAGAGAGCTGCTGACCTCCCAGTCGCTGCGTGGCAGGGGGAGAGACGCCCGGCAGCGAGAGAGAAGGGAGAGAGCTGAGAGGCAGTAGGGTATTTATAAAAATCACTAGTTTCGAGGCATGCAATGAAAGCCGCGTCAACACGCAGAGAGACATACAGAAAGCGTGCGCCAGGTCCTCAGGTAATGTAAATCAGCACAGCCCTGTCAACTTCAATAGAGCTCCACACTTCTGAGCTGCAGCCTCCCCGCTCCCCCAGACAGCCTAACGCTTCCCTGGGGCTGCGTAAACACTGGCAGCCACATCCTCAGAGGTGTGGTTAGCATGGCTGCAGGTCGCAGCGAGATATCTGGCAGCAGCCCAGGTTAAGCAGCCTCTGCCACCCCCGGGACCTCGACCCCGCTCCAGCACAGCCCTTCCCGCAGTGCTAGCACGGGATCCCGAGGCCACGTGCAGAACTGGATCGAGGAACTGGACCGGATGAAAAACAACTTGCCAAAAGAAAACGGTTATTTCCAGCCAAATCAGTTCCCCAGCCAAGCGTACTCGCTCAACCACACCGACTGCTGCTCTGGCGCAGGGAGGGGAAGGTGCATACATGGAAACCAGCAGCTGGAGGCAGGAGGAGGGCTGGGGCTGACACCAAAAGAAAAGTGTATTAATCTAAACACTCAGCTGGGGTTGTGGGAAAACACAAATCCTCTTTCTCAGCTCTCCGGTATGTTCTCCTGAAAGCACCAGCAGTCAAAGGAGAGCAGGATTTCAAATGCAATTTCAAGCCCTCGGAATGAATCAATCAATTCTAAATAAACATCTGCCTTTGGACTGCCTCTAGCGCTTTCACTGCCTTGTCCATCACTGCCTTTCCAAGATAAGGTGTGTGGAAGAAAGCCATCTCCCAGGCAATTCCAACTATTTACCAATGTCAAATTAAGGCACTTGGAAGCAGAGCAAAGAAGAATTTCCTCTGTTCTTTCACCAGCTGTAATGCTTTATATGCAGACCAAATCCAGAATATTAATGCTCAGAAGCACAAGTATTACGATGCCACTTTTCTCTGTGAAAAACAAAATGGATTTTGTGATTTTGTTTAAGACACCTCAGATGAATAGCTGAATTTAAGAGGTAATTCCTCTCTTCACAGGTAAAACTTTGGGTAGTTCTAACAAAACATGTAGAAGTAAGAACACAGTTGCTATTTATACCAACCGTGCTATCACTCACAGAAAAGCAGAAACCAAAAAGTGTAGGCAGCAAATCTCTATGTAATTACTCATCAGTCAAATTTCTCTTCACTACTCATTTCTTTCCTAACACCTGCATGTCATAAGCAACCACTGATGACAAGATTGCTCAGTTTTATGGCAAAATAAAACCATTTTGCCATAATAAAGAATGAAGGGGTAACCTCATGGTTAAAGGGCTGGCTTACGAGGCAAATCATATAGACTGTACGCTCACACACAGTCTATATGATTTCAATAGAGAACTCAACAACCAGATTCAGAAGGTACTCTGGCACCAGCGACACTCCTTCCTTCCCAGTGACCCAACTTGAGCAGGATGGATGGAGAGTAGCTCCATCTCCAGTTTAGTCTACAACCTGGAAGCAAGGAAAATTTTTCTGGAAGTTTGAACCAGTGATTTACTAACATCCAGAGATTTCAGTTCCTGGATGCATCGTCTAGCCACTTGTCTGTTATGCAGAAACGGGGTGGCACATCCTCCCTTTCCTTCTGCTCCCCTAGCAGCTATGTTTCAGGAGAAGCTGTGATCTGGCTGCATGAAAGAAGCAAGAGGTTTGAGACTCTGAAATCTAGTTTTAGAGAGTTGTCTGTGACAGCAGAACTCAAACATGGATTTAAGTCTAGGTAAAAGATTAAGTCCGAGATGTTCTCCTCTGTAGGTTTTTTTGTTGGTGGTCAGTTTGTATGTCCCAGCCTTCAGCACACTGGCTCCTGTGGAATGCCTAAATACAGCATACAGGGACTTTGGCATTTAAAGCAATATTGTAAATACTGCATCTAGAGATAGGCACATGACTATTGCAGGGTTCACTGTCTCAATGCCTGGATCTGAAATGCAAATCTCTGTTGGTACCTTTAAGCACCAACAATGCACTAAGAAAAAACAGTATCAATCCAAGTTCTGCATTACCTTTCTGTATAACCAACTGCCTCCTCATCCATATCTCTATTCTTCCTGCAAAGTCCTCTTATTTTAAATAAAATTCTCCCCCAACCCACAGGACATCAGTAATTCCCATCTTAAAATTCTAACTAACCTCTGTTTTCTGCGCAGTGGTGATCCCCTTGGAAGCAGCTGCATTACAACTATCCTGAAAAAAAATCAGCATTTCTCCATGTCAGGACAAGGAAGAGACAGATTGCTGCTCACAGTAAAAAGTACAAAGAAAAGGCATCACAGGGGATTCCAGTCCTCCCCAACAAACTTCACCTGGCAGGTGGTGGCAGGAGAGACACGCATCCATTTACAGCTGGCACACTCACCCTTGTGTATACATCGTGAGCAGCTGGTAACACAGAAAACAAAATTTTTGTAAGACACAGGAACTCAATCTAGATTCAGCCATGAATGTGAAATTTCAAGTGACAGAAAAAAGCACAAACCCAGGAGAACAACCTAGAAAACATGTAATGAAATGTGTAAAACACATAACCTGCATTTACCCTCCAAGCCTATTGTTCTGTTGTGCTTATTCTGAGGACAAATTTAGTATGAAATACAATCTGTGCTGAAATGCTGAGCCATAAATTTCCAAAAAGCGTGAAGCAGAGGGACACTTTGGGTTTCATTTTGCTGTGGTTTTCTCCAGTACATAAGTAAGTGGCCAGATAGTACTTTTTAACCAGAAAAGGGCAGAAAACCATCACTGGTTCTTTCACAGCTTGCCTGAACTTCTGTTCTGTGTGTGTAGTGCTAGCAAGTATTGCTAGCTTCCTATTGCCTTCCCTTATCAAAAAATACGCCTCTTGTAGACTAGTTTGTCCCTATCCTGCTTTGCAATGCATCAGTCAGCATGGAGGAGAGCCAAGAGCCACACAGGCCCTCTCCATGCATGCTGAGAAATGCTCTGATTCATAGAAAGACAGCTCCTTCCCTGTGTTGCTCCAGGGGCAGGGAAGTGATGTGCCACTTCCAAAAAAGCAGGAGTTCAATTTCATCCCAGGTGCCTATGAATTAGCCTCTTTCTATAGGAGAGAAGTGTTCTCATTGGGAACGCTGTAGTTACCTACAGGTTATGTTAGCCAGATCTTCCTAAGTTTTAACAACCACGTATCATAAAGGGTTAGGCAATGTAATGGGCACAAACGCTTTCTACGCTGAGCTCTTAACAAAGAGTGTGGCTCTGAAAAAGAATGTGTACAGAACAATAGGTATTCATTATTCCTATTAGCATATTAGATGTTACTTTCTGGTTTAATCATATTCATGTTACCCATGGACCATATTTAAATTGCATCTGGCTGTATTAAAGAACAGCTCCGTAAAGTGACTTTTACAGAATCTCTTGACTCCTCTGATCTAGGACTTATCCTGAGTACCACGGGCCCACCTCTTTCACAAGGACAAAAAGGATTTTAATGTCATTGTGACATCCTTTATTATTTCTTCAAGTACTTGTCATAAATTCAGTCATTGTAATGACTCTCCTAGCTGCCAGGGTCCCGTTAAATAAAAGAGACATCAGAAGAAGTAGCTTTCTAATAAAAAAAGAGGAGAAGGAGGAAATGGGACAAGAAAAGGGATTTGACTGTCTTTACTGAAATTTATTTCCTTAATAAATAAAAAAAAAAAAGAATGATCATGATCATGATTCAGCCCCCTCCCCCGCCCCAAACCCCTCAATTCCCCCTCAGGAACCAGGCTCTTACTTTTTCAACCGAAATGTTTGTGTGATATTCCAAGAGCTTGAGGACAGCGATGCTTCGAGAACTAGACAATCTGGAAAAATGTGACCGTTAGACATATGCTGGATATTACAAGAAACAACTAAAAAAAATAATTGAGTTGAAAGCTCATGTGCCTTCAGCTGTTCTCTACATGGTATGCATCTTCTCTCATACACACATTCACTCACACTTTTGACTGATAAAAATAACTAGATTTTGTCCTTCCATAGCACCCTTCAGCTGAGTTATTCCAAGACTTTATACACACTCATTAATTAAGCTTGATGCCACCGCTGCATGACATACAAAAGTAATGTTATTGTCAGGATACAGATAAGGAAATGCTACCATGGAGCAGGGACATAAAATCATCTCCCGAAGAGCACACTGTGGTATACTGTAGCAGAGCCAGACCCCAAATTCAAGCCTCCTAATACAACAGACTGTTCTAGTGCGAGAGACCCCAACACACCGTACTTTTCTCTCTTTCTGTCTCAGAGACTTGGTTTCAGAGTCTTCTTTTGTCATCTATGCAGTAGCAATTTTCATCCTATTTAAATCTTTTATGATTGCATGAGTCAATTTGCCATTATTTCAGCTAGCAATTACTATACCAACAATTCACTGGCAGCTGTGGAATGAAAGAGTATCTTCTCCCATGAGCAGAATACCACATCGAAAAGTAGAGTTAGCTATATACCACTTAAGCCATGGCCCCTTTCATCTGTGTGCCTGCAGATGTGTACATCTGTGAAATGAATGACTCTCTGAGATCAAATGAAACCCATGTGTGCAGACTTTTCTGGCTTCTCTATGCTAGGAAGTGATAGCTTTTTAATCCAGGAAAGTTACACAGATTTAAAGTATACCTACCTTGCAAAGGTAGAGAAAGCTTTATCTTTATCACAGGCTGGCTTGTTCAGATGAAAACCAGCTTTGGCTACATTTACATTATTAAATCAGAAGTATCTCCTAGCTCCACACGTCAGCATGGCACTTGGGTGCTCACTGCAAAGGTCACCTGCACTGCTTGTTAGAAACAGTCCTTGAGACTGGTCATATTCTTAAATATCTTCCTAAATGGATAGCAAAGAGCCTGATTTTTAAAGGTGTGTTAATGCTTGAGGATGTGGATAAGCACACACAGACATTCTGAAAACCTTCACCAAGCACCTATTTGCATCTGCAGAAATATAGGTATCTGCAGAAATCTGACGTTGGGCACAAAACTGCCTAAATCACTTGCTTAGGTCATCATATGAGAAGGGTCTTAAGCCATGAGCTAGTGAAAATAGTATTTTACTAGGAATAGTAAGTAGAAGTAAGGAATTTATCTGCTTCTGTCAGAGTTTGTCTTCTCTTTTAAGTTTGTATAAATACTTTAAAAACAACACTGTCAAATATGGTTTCGTGATTTTGTCTGTGTTGAAATTAATGGAACCTCTTATGTTCTGTATGGCCTGGGCTGACCTTTCAAAATGCACCAGACTGCACTGAGTAGCAAGTTATTTTCAAAATGCCTTCTTCCAGAAACGATATCTGAAGGAGTTTTGCAATTGCATCTTCTTGTGACACTGAGGGCATTTTACACGAGGTACCACAAATAGTTAACATAACTTCCACACTTGCATTATCCACTAATATATCTCAGCTCGTAGGAGCACGTGAATGGCAGTAATACTGGTGGACACAAGCTAAACTCACATCTTTCTGGTTAACACTGTCAAAGGGCTCATCTCTGGCACAAACCACAGGAAAGCTGAGCTAGCTTCCATAACACTCTACTTTGAAAACCTGCTAATGGAGGTTAGTTCTTAGTCTGAAAGCCTTAGTCTGAGAAGACAGAGAACCAAAACAATGTATTCCACAATTATAAGAAAACACGGCTTTTGGGACTGGGCCAATAAAGGACATTTTTTTCTTCTCTAATGCATATGTTCTTCCTAAAAATCTACTGATAGTGTTTACTAAAGACAGCTTAATAGACCAGAATACTCAATGATATAACCCCAGCTGTCACCTGCTAGTGACAAAGTCTTTTCTTCTCAATTCCCAAATCAATATTGGGACAGGAACTCAACACACAACACAAAGCCAGAGGAGCTTTTCCCATACAAAGGCCATAGGATGAGCTCCTATGATCCTAATATTCCAGGGAACCTCTTTCAGGGGCAAGGGTCCCTGAGAGAGTGAGCTCTTTGCAGCACTGAGCTCTTCAGAACAACAGGTCGTTGTAAGTTCTGGTTAACATTTCATCCCTCTTTCTACACAAAGGTATTATAAGAGATGCAGATTCCTGCAGGGTATTACATGCCTTTTGGGCTATATTATCTACGAAAAGATAAAGGCAGGCATTTATTTGAATTTTCTCTTTCCTCTTCGAGTCACTTAAGAGCACATGGTATCCTTGAGCTTGCTATTTTTGTCCCTCAGTTTAGATTAAAACTCTCTTTTGTATTCTAAAATAAGCAACTTTAAAAAGGTACAAGGTCAATCTGTATTAAAAATGCTTTGTGCTTCTATACAGACCCTTGAAGCATTGCAAGGGGGACATTTTTCTCTTATTAGTCAAATAAGACTCTACGGTGAAGGATTATCACCTGATCTTTGAGAACAAAGCCTAGAGAAGAGCTCCAAAGTCTAGACACTGACCACCTCATTCTAAGACTTGCGATTGCCCATAAAACTCACAAAACAGATCACATGCATCATGCATCCAATACAAATGGCTCAGGTCTCTAATTCTAAGAACTACTGGTGAGCAAAGTAGTGTAAGAATTATTGCAAAATGATTCAACCAATAATTCAGAAAGAGGAATGAAAGCAAGTCAAACACCAAAAGACGTACCAGCCAAATTGCCCCTAAACCATGACTTTTTCTGCTAATCCTCTAAATGGGAAAATCACTTTCTCATAAGTGTTATAAGCTAGGTTGAAACAGTTAATTGAATGTTGATTATTTATTGTACAGACACTCATAGTCAGACTCTCCTCATTTATGCTAGTACAGTTCCCTGCAAAACCAAATTCTTTTTCAGATGACAGAAGGGCAACAACTGCTTCCATAGTTCCAGCCAGCTTGATTGTTGTTGCAGCTATCTTATGTTTCCTTAGACAGTGATCAATGGCACCATGTAAATATACTCCTTAACGCTAAAAGATTGCGCTGCTACAGGCTGAACTGAAGAAGCTGCTTCTAGCCATAGGCTAACGTGTTTTATTACTTCTAGAAAGGATTCCATATTAACAAATCTTTAATTATCAAGAATAGTGTGAGTATACTCAAATCACTTGACAAAACAGGTGTATTTTTTTTCAATGACATTTAATAAAAAGCATTACCTACTCCCACACTCATTAGGCCTATGTTTATGCTCAGTTCTCCTCAGTAATAAAGGACAGTGAATTAGCATTAAATACATGTAATAGCAAAACATACCGTTATCACTTATCACCGGAGTGGTTAGATTGCAGAAACAGGATGAGTTTTTCAGCACTACATTTTCATAAAATATTTCAACAGGCTTTACAATTTTTATCATACAGGAAGTAAGGATTTTGCTTATGCTTGCAGCCACCACAACCTATAAAGCAATAAAAACAAGAATACAGCAGATTTCTTGTAATACTTGTTAAGTTGTCACCTTGTCTTTATGGAAAACTGCAAACTATGAAATGTACAAAAATATTTTTGTGGCAGAAGCAGACAATTCATTAGGTAGCCTCTCAAAGGAGAGGGCCTCTCCCAACTGAAGAAGCTATACAGAGAGAGTTCCGAAAGGAACAGCACTGCTTACTTCCAGAAATTAAATACATCTGTAATGTATAGTAGGGGAGCAATCTGGAATAATTTTGAATTTTAAAAGAAGAATTTTGCTGTAACACTGTTATATGCTGTTATAGTCCCTTAAAAATATTGAAGCAAGAATGTACAAATCCTCACAGAGAGATGAGGTTTGCATCCATAACCAGTGATTTAATTATGAAACAGAATTTGACTTGTAATGAATTATCCTTTGTTTCTGGCTGAGAGCGCTTTACAAATATGATCACATTAGTGCATTCAATCAGGAAACCAGAAACAATAGCATGCAGATTAAGCGGCCAGTCACAATACTTGATAATCAAATACTCAAGGCTGTGTGTGCTGTGAACAGATACTGAGTAAATACTAATATCAAACACTTAAAAGACGCATTTGTGTTAGCATATGTGTCCCAGTGAATGTTTTGTAACTTGTTACAAAGCTCGGAACTTACATAATGCATATAGTCACTGGAAATATTAAAATAGTTGATAAAGTGATATAACAGAAACGTTGCCTTTGTCAGCATAGTGAATTTTTGACTCAACATCATGAAGTATACCTTCAGGATACATTTCACAGAAGAGGAAGAGAACATCTATCTAATTGACACATTAAAACTTATTGGGACTTCCAATGCATTTGCCAATTATTGAGATAAGATAATTATTATAAATTATCTCAATTCTTGAGATAAGAAATTCCAATAATATATGGAACATAGTGACAGAAGAAGGGAAGCTGCAATAAGTGACAAAATGACACATTTTAAGTCACAAAAAAACAAACACGCATAAAACTGGGTGTACATACCTGATTTTTGGCAGGGAAACTTAGCAGGATTTTCAGATCTTTATCAGGTGCATATGAAATGTTATACCAACCCTTTATGCTGTTTGAACGTGTACAATTTTCTTTTAGTGTGCACCTAAAAGTATACATAAAATTATTCTAGCCTCCTTATCGCGGCTTTGATTTCAGATGTTATACTTCAACTTATTTAATGTTATTGATTTTCTACAGGAACACTATTGATTTTTTACAGGAATATGGTTACAACTGCAAAAAGCTTGAGGAAAACAATCAGTAAAATCTTCTGCTTATCAAAATAAATTACAGTGCATTGATATATGCTCTAGGGTAGGGTCCTGATTAAGTCAATGGGACTCAAACAAATATTAGATGCTTGGCCAGTAATCGTGGACTTGGTAGCCTGGGATGGAATTCATCACCCCCGACTTGATTGCTCCATGCAAGATCTGCCCCCCCCAGTTCCCTCTACACTCAACGGGGAGAAGTATGCTCTTTCAGGGTGCAATTCACCTAACTTATTTTAGACATTCATACAAAAATGAGATGAATCACACTGTAGAAGCTTCTTGTTCTCTCCAGAGAGTGTAAGAGGAGATGGAGTTGAAGCTCAGATGTAGAGTTATGCTACGAATGTGTATAGTTGAGGAGATGCATCCTCCTTCCTAATCTCTTCTGTTGTCCACTGATGTGAATGGTAATCTTTCCCTTTTATGTCAATGCACTTCGTTAAAAACACTAGGTTTGAAAAGGTCGTTCAAAATAGATTTTTCTGTCTTCAAGAATAAAATTCATCTCAGAAATAGGATGGCACAAAGTAAATAAAAATGTTATAGATGCCAAATTGTAGGAAACAGAAACTGCACAACAGAAAATTAAGGAAGAATGAGGAAACGCCATGATATACAAGTACTACAAAGATTACATGTATTAAAAACATGTGATAAGAAGAAGAGAACATAGGCATACAAATCAGATGGACAATCGCTGAGTTTGAAAGGTGAATCCTTCAAATACTGTCTGCTGTGAACAATGAATGATCCATAGATTAACTCCAAGTAATTTCATATAGCTAGCAACTAAAGACAAGTAAGCGCTAACTGCATATATTTTAATATTAAGATTGAATATTTACAAATAAACATAACATTTAATATTGTTTTAATAATATTACTTTTCTACCAAACATAGAAGTGTGCATAGCTTCAATCATGTGATCATGTGACATGTGCCTTAATGAACAATTCCTTCTCTAAAAACTAGAAATGAGTACATACTTGCAAAGCATGGGCCTTTTTTATGAGTAGTTCACTGTATAAATGTATTTCACAATGTGTTTTCTCTAAGAAGGAGTAACACAAGAATGACTTTCAAGACAAATATCCACTTTCCAAAATGCCTGAAATAACCCCACAAGCCATAGAAACCATAAAGTCATCCTCTCTATAGATCAAGACATTGGCAACTGGAATGGAGTTAAGCACGAGGTCGCTTCCTTTGTGGTTTAACTCAGGAAACCGAGTTCCTGCTGCACAAGAACCTGGTGGAGTTTTGCATCTGAATACATCCAGATCATAACTATACTGTAAGAAATTAGGACTATGCCTAACATATTTCAAACTGTCTGTCTCATTTATATCTCTCTTCATCCTACTGAGATCATGAAGGTCTTTGGCAACACAGTTTTAGAACCACAAAGGATGGGATCTGTCATCAACAGATGTGCATAAACCAGATGCTCGGATATGTACAGGTAGGTAACTCTCACCGGTAATGATGCTTGGGCAAGAGACATCCTACAGTTTCTGACAGACTGATGATCATAATGTTGAAGATGCAAGGCAACACACTTGTGATATTTGGCACTAAAGTGTTTGCATTTCAGTGACACTAATACTAAAATATTAAAAAAGAAAACTGTTTATAAAGATAAATATTTAAAGCTGTCCTAGGACAAAGTTATTTGCCTGTGCAACACAAGCAGTGAACATTTCCCTCATCTACAATGAAGAATCTGAGTTTATGGCGAAAAAAGCAATGCCACCTAGGACCCAGGGTTGTGCTTGTCTTTATGCCAGGAAAATGGCATCTTTTATTGCTCTAAAAGCTGACCTTTAGCACTGAAACAATGTGCTATGGATTATGGTCATTTCATAGGAAGCAGTCACAAAGGGGGAAATGCTGAGCCCTCAGAGCATCTGATGCCCCTCAGCATAAATTCTCACAATTGCCCTGCACAGGCCGAGAGAAACACGAATTCCACTCACATAAAGATGAGACTATTTTGTTATATTCCTATTTTTTGACAATTGATATTGTTTGAAAGCACACTGGAATGAATATAAATATTATTTGTGAATGACAAAGTTCTGAAGATTAACATACAGACTCAGACATCTACCAAGAAAGCAAAAATATCAACGCTGCAAAAGTAGCTGAAAGTTTCTGGAGTCTGGCTTTCTTGGCAAGGTGGACTGGACTGGACCCTATACAAGTATGAAGGTATGAAACCCTAGGATAAGATTTCAGACATGCATAGATATGTGTACAGAGAAAAGCAGTGTCAAGATTTTTTTTAATCTTTCACAGCAAGCTAGTTCTTTGTACTACTAAAGATTCCTCTTCACAATTGGAATCGAGTTCCTTTTATTTCATTATGATAACACGATACCTATGCATACTGGCTCATTCATATTTACTTAAGTCTCTGCTTCGCTAATCTTGTATTAACTACAGATCCTACTGAGTATGCCCTCTCTGCCTTGCTAAAGCATACGGATTTCCTCATGGAATGAGAACAAGGTTTCAGAGAAAGTTTTGGCTTCTTTTTCCATGGTACCAGTCCCTGAATGAAGTCCACAGATGTCACATACACTGCCAAATTCAAAAGTAAGTCTGGTCATGTCAGATAACTAAGTCATACTGTGTTACTTCCATATGGAAAATACATGTAAAACATCAGGGCCTCGTACTGGAATCATTTCAGCATACTTCAGGTAAATCTGATTCATCTACAGAAAATCTATAAACATTAAGAGAATCATAGAACCGCAGAAGGGTTTGGGTTGGAAAGGACTTTAAAGATCATCTAGTTCCAACACCCCTGCCATAAGCAGGGATATCTTTTGGTTGCTCAAAGCCCCATCCAAACTGGCCTTGAACACTTCCAGGGATAAGGCATCCACAACTTCTCTGGGCAACCTGTTCCAATACCTCACCACCCGCATAGTAAAGAATTTATATCTAGTATCTTCTATCTAATCTAAATCTACCCTCTTTCAGTTTAAAACCATTAACCCTTGTTCTATCACTACAGGCCCTCTAAAAAGTCCATCTCTAGCTTTCTTGTAGGCCCCCTTTAAGTACTGGAAGGCTGCAAGAAGGTCTCCCCGGAGCCTTCTCTTCTCCAGGCTCAACAACCCCAACTCTCTCAGCCTGTCCTCAGAGGAGAGGTGCTCCATCCCTCTGATCATTTTTGTGGCCCTCCTCTGGACCCTCTCCAACAGGTCCGTGTCTTTCCTGTGCTGAGGGCTCCAGAGCTGGACGCAGGACTCCAGGTGGGGCCTCATGAGGGCGGAGTAGAGAGGGAGAATCACATTCCTCGACCTCCTGGTCACGCTTCTCTTTATGCAGCCCAGGATATGGTTGGCTTTCTGAGCTGCAAGCGCACTTTGCTATGACTAATTGTTTGGTATAATTGTAAGTGAAAGGAGAATTTATGTATTTGTCCCTGTGGAAGAAAGAGTAGAAGTAGGAACAGCAGAAACATTTTGTCATTTTGTTACATTTTGTTTCACTTGCAATAAGATGTGCACATTTTTTCATCATAATACTGGATTTGAGTTTACATTGCCTTTAAAATGAAGCACTGCTGGCAAGTTTTATTTAAAAAATGGACTCTATATCTAATATAAAATTTATTTCCCAGTAAAAGTATAAAACATATCATCGATCTCAAAATTATTATGGATATATTGCTTTAGTGGACACGTATGCACTTTGATTAAAATACTGGCTAAAAACATGGTCCTCCTCTTTTTCTAAAGCTTCACTCAGAGCGCTCTCTTCATAAAACCAAATATTTAATGACGCTAAGTGCTTAACAGTGAAAAATTATGTGGGTGTTGAATGGGATTCATATTATAGTAATTCATTTTTTCTCCAAAAGAGTAAATAATTTCTGTTTCAATCAGATGGAAACTTTTGGTGATTCCCCTCAAAAACAGGGCATTTACTGACAAATAACTATTATTTGCAAACTCTTTATAAAAGCCTGAAAAGCTTAGCACTGTAACATATACAGTTTCTAAGAAGGTAGAGAGAGTTTGAAGAGAACACATTACAAAGTAAACACCTACTCTCTTCAAATAACCACCTTTGCAAACACAAAGTAGCAGATCTTCAGCAAAATCACCTTAACACTGAAACAAGCCAAAATGGGCAGTATTAACCTTCTAAAAGAAGTCTACTAGTGGAATTCCTCAAAAATCAATCTTATAACCACTTTTGTTTAATGTTTTAATCACCAATGAACTGGCATAAAAGAAGGTTTACACTGTCGACATCTGCTGATGATACAAAGTTGAGAACATTACCATGCAGAGGAAGATGAGAATATCACACAGGAAAACTCGGATAACCTTGAAAAGGGTGAGATTTCAAAGCATGAAGTACCAGAACATGTACCTAAAGCAACAAAAATCTCACAACCCATATGTGCTATAGACTGGAAAATCATCAGCTGGAAAGAAAACAAAGAAGGAGAAGGACCTGGGGGCATTATTTGATCATGGATGATTGTGGCCCATCAATGTGATGCAGTCATGAAAAAGACATTTGTGATCCCAGGACACACTAAGTAAGGTGCTTCCTGGACAGACTAAACAGATTAAACACCATTGAGCAAGGCACAGCTGAAATCTCTTCTGGAATACTGTGACAATCCTGGCCATATTTTAAAAGGATGCATAAACTTCACAGAAGGGCTACTGGAGTGGAGTTAGGAAAGGAGTGTCTATGTGAGAGGATCTTAGTGAAGTTAGCTGTTTTAGCATGCCAAAATGAAAGTTAAAAAAATGACTGCTTTCACAATCTCTCTCTTATTGAGAAGATAAGTGTGAGGGAGGGGGAAAACCTATTTAAGCCAAGGTGATGTGAACGCCAGAACAAGTAAGTATAACCTGTCCATGAACACACACGTGATGAAAATGAGCACACACATTTTAACCAGCAGTAAGACTCTCAGCCACACAACCAGGGCAGGGAGGACAAAAATCCTATCTAAATTTAGGATGATCCTTGATTAGTTTATAAGTAGGTTTACATTATGTGGTTGCTTGCAATTGCCAAGACTAAGCCTGATGACCCAGGAATTTCTCCAGTCCAGGCCAAAGATGTACACAGTAGCTTTCAAACCTGATTCAAAGAACGCAGCAAAACTAATGACTCAAATGCAAGGATGAAGTGTTTAGAAAGAAATTCTCCTCTGGCCTAAACCAAAGGCAGTAGTTCCAAAGCCAGGAACTATGAATA